TTTGCTGGTGAGTAACATTTGGTTCCCGGTGACCCCATAATTTTCTAATCGTATTTCTCATTAGGTGATTCGTTGATGTCTGCTGGCGACGATGGTGCGGTTCGGTTTTGGAAGAAATCACTGTCCGGAGAATGGCTTGAATTTGCCGAGACAGACATGGCAATGCAGTAAATTTTGTTAGGCATGTCCCATTGAGATGGATTTCTTGTGAATGGGCGTGGTCTCAACCCTTGCCTCCTCTTATAACCTCCGCTCGAACTTGTGTCCAACCAAACTCCTAACCATATATTCATCCCTATGATTGAAATGGTGTATAGGAGAAATGATACCCTTGTGTTTTAATTGACAAACTGCTTTATTTATCACTTCCATGCTTCCAAATTTGTTTTTCAATAGGGGTCACGGTAGTACTACGATTCCGGGGCTGACCTCGGCCGCCGCGTTGATGCAACTTGAAGTTCGGGCAGGGGCGACTCTTCTCCGCGAAATCACTTTTTGATGAAGAATTCGAATCTCGCCCAACTTCCTTTCGACACTGATGGCCTTCACTCCTTTAGGCCATAAATATCACTACTCAGATCTGCCATGGCTGTCGGCCCAACTCTTGGAACGGGGTTGTTCATAGGCGCCGGTCAAGCTTTAGCTATCGGCGGCCCAGCGTCGTTGCTCATCTCCTATGTATTCCTATCACTCCTAACCTATTTCATGGCCACAACTGTCGCCGAGGTCGCCATTTATTCGCCGTCTCGACATGGCTCAATGGTTGCCAATGGCTTTCGATATCTCCCATCCAGTCTTGGCCTCGCCACTGCTACCCTTCGCTGGTATAGCCTGGCTCTTCTCGTCCCTTATGAAACTACTACCGCGATGGTAAACCTCGGCTTATGGAAGCCTGGCTCGACAGTCGCGATCCGATTGTTCATCATCACCTGCGTCATTGTCGGCTTCAATTTTCTTCCGGAGCGCACTTTTCGCGGCACCGAACAACTCTTCACCAGAATAAAAAGCGGCACAATGATTTGTCTCCTTGTACTGTCTTTGTCAATCGGCATGGGAGGTGCCACCGGTCATGATAAATGGGGATTTCAATACTGGAGAAAGCCAGGCGCTATGAATGAATACATAGCTCGAGGCTCACTGGGAAAGTTCTTTGGCTTACTACAATGCCTCTTGCACAGCTCGGTTGCTTTCATTTTCACGCCAGAATTGATCGTCCACCGAGCCGAAACTCCAGTCTCGACGAGTGGCATGGAAATCGGGGATTCAACGGACCCGAACATTCGATCTGAGCTTCCCAGAACGGTCGCCTACGATGTTGTGACCACCGCATTTCCTTATATACTGAGTTCTTTGGCCATGGGTGTGATGGCTCCCTACAACGAGCCTCTATTGAGCAACAACGGGGCTGGTGGGGGTCTCTCTCCGTTTGTCATCGGGATCAACACCGCGAAGATACGCATTCTTCCAGTAACGGCAACCGTCGCGATTTTCCTTTCCTCGGTGGCCTCTGGTCGGTCATTCTTGCATTACTCCACGCGCACGCTAGTAGCGTTGTCTGAGCTCGGCCACGCTCCCAAGACGTTCAGTACCCGAAATCAATGGGGTGTACCTTATGTGGCCACTATAGTCACCGCGTTGTTTGCCTTGCTCGCCTTCATGTCCGTCGCGATCTCGAGCTCCACGGTGTTGTCATACTTCCTCGTCTTTGTCAACAGCTGCGGGTACCTTTCCTGGATGGTATCTTGCGTGACCTACCGTCGTTTTCGTCACCACCTTCATCGACGGGGACAGAGTGACACCTATAGCTTTTCTGTTCAACCCATGGGAACATACATAGGCTTCATGGTGAGCGCCATACTGCTGCTCGCCAATGGGCTAGTTGGAGGCCCAGCGGGTCCTCAACCTGGGTCAAGAGCGTCGAGACTTGTGGCCGCCTATTTTAGTATTCCAGCATTTGGAGTCATCTATTTAGGCCATCGATTCCAAACCATGGTCCCATATCGGTCGCATGCTAAGGAGGTGCCCATCAACAAGGATGCGCCGGAGGGTCCCACGGGTGCGTTCCACATACAGCGGGGGCAGCCTGCCACAACACCTGGAACTAGTATCGAGCTGGAGCAGGTGTGGTCGATAGCCGTCGAGGCTTGAGAGTTGTATGTAAAAAATCTGATTTGGGGGCTGGAGGGTGGTTGTTGCGTCAGACCTAGGATGTGTCCTGGCCCTTAAGCGGCGATGCAAGTTGAGACTGTCTGTAAGCTTTTCGAGAGGCCTGTATATTTGATTCTCGGGCACTTCGTGTATGTATTGTATTGTCTCTGCAATTTTATTTTTAGTCGTTATTAGCATTATTTTGATTATGATGATTCGGTATTTTCCGGCCTCCTCCAATAGACAACTAGGCAGTTGTCCAACAACCTCAGCCATCGCGTCACTCTTTCTCTCCCTTTCCGTCACTTTCCTCTTCCAACGCCGCTCCCAGACCCCGACGCTGATGCTTCCGCATCGATACTGACTATGACATGCTTCGGGCCAATCGAGTTTCATCGACTGTTGGTCTCATCGATTGACCATCAGCCCTAAATAGGTCGGGCCTGTCGCCTGCGTTACAATAGTTCCCGCTCTGGAGCTGGAGCCCAACAACTCCTCACACGAGGTGAGCCCTGGGGTTATGATTCTTCTTTTATCAAACTCTCGACTGGCTAACACAACTATTCTACAGCATCCTATTACAGAGTGACCTTCTGTTGAGTAGGTCTTGGCTTGGCTTGTTCACGGCCGCCCTCGTGTCAGCAAGGACGAAAGCAAGCGGATCCCATGTGGGCCGTACGGAGTACAGTATCGATACTCATTTCCGCCTCATGATCGACTAACGGTTGGCTTTGATTAGCCCTGTTTCTGGCGCACCTACAGCCTCTCTATAGTGGCGAAAAAAGGGCCGCCAAATCACAGGGGACTCATATCATCCGCCGCCCTCCCTCCCCTCCCCCTTTCGTGTGTGAACTCCTTTCTCTAAGGGATATCTCTCTTCGATCTGGACACTCCACCAGGCTCGGGAGCTTGATAGGTTCGCAGTTCTCTATGGTACTGGCCGTCCCGAGTGGTTCCTTCAGGGCCGTGCCGCCGTCGTTACACCTTTTTTTTTTCTTCGCCTGAAGGGCAAAAAAAACCCGCCAGGACCCTGGGAAGCCCAATGACTTTTTGCTCCCCCTCTTCTTCCCCCGACCAAAATCTTTCAGCGCCACGCTTCTGCCCCATTTGGCCCTTCACTCCCGGGCGATCTCCCTTTCCCATGGATCTTTTCTTACACCTACGTTTCCCGTTTCCCTTTGTATACACCTTGGGTGTTCTCTCTTCTAACATCATTCCTCACCTTCCCCCAACCTCACATCTTCTATTATGGGGGAAATATATACCTCTTTGATGGATTTTCTCTAGCTAACCCCTGCTGAGTCTTCTCGTCTCCTGGATCTCTTTCTATTCCTTCTTGAATGAGTTATTTGACCACCTGACGAGAGATGAGATGGCCCAATTATTTTCTTTCCTTTGATTGTTCTCTTTATTCTCCCCTCTCTCGTCCAACCTTTCTTTCCCCCTCTCGCTTTCTCATCTTCGAAAGTTGGTTTTTTTTTACTATTGCCTGCTTTCATCGAAGACAAGAAGATGTCTCTGCTCGTGATGCCAGAGCACTGCATCTTTTCTTCCGGTCGCAGATGGATCGAATGGCAGCAGCAGTCACACTGCCCCGACCTGCATGGCATCCCGGAACTGTTCGGCCGAACCCGTTGCTCGGGCCAACATCTCACGGGAGACCAGGAATGATTTTGTGTCTTCCTTTTGAACAACTCTACTAATGATCTAGATGCTCACCCGGGGATTTCCCCTCTTTCCAGTTGATCCCTTCCCCCTTCCCCATGTGGTTCCCGTGACCGGGGGCGTTTTCCACTCCACCTTGGGTCTGCCGACGCTAGTCCTGGTTAGGACTAGCACAGTGCTGACTGGATACACTGGGCACACCATGCCACTGCCAATGCCACGCCCCCACTACCACTGCCACGCACCCTTTCGCTGGTCTCGGGCTTAATGCCACCTACCAGGTTTTTTTACTCGCTAGCTCGTTTTCGGGTCGAGTCTCTCCTCCCTCTCCTGGGTACGGATACTTCCCCCCCCCCTCTTCTCCCCTTGGCTCACTTACTCGTCGGTCGCAGGCGCGACTTCCTCGCGCTAGGCCCGATTCGCTCCTGCTGGTTCGGGGCCCATTCGCTGCCTTAGGCCTGTAGCCTCTCTGTCTCTCTCCTCCTCCTTCCAGACTCTCTCGATCCACCCTCTTTTTCCTTCTCCCTTTTCCTTGCGCGTCCTCCTCCTTCTCTGATCCTCCCCATTCCTTAACTCCCTACGCCATCCATTCTCTTCCTCGCCTCTATCATTTCTTCTTCCCTCACTTCTTCTCCCCGTGCGACCCGCTCGCTCACCCTTTTCCCATCTTCAACTGGACCCTCAAATCGCTTCCAACCGTTCTCACTCTCCCCTAATCGACCTCCCAACGCAAATCGCAACCGATTCCCATCTCGACCTCGAATCGCCGTGCTCTGAACAACCCATCACCGTTCTTCTCGAGCCGACCCTGCCTCCCCTCCCGCCGCTACCCTTGTAGGCACAGGTTGAGCGCAACCAGCCAGGATTTTACACCCACCCTCTGCCATCCCACAGGACCCGACTCCCATCATCAAGGATCCCTCAGATCTGTGCAGACGCTCCTTCTATCTCTCAAGTCAACATTGGAGTCGTTCTTGCCACCGAGTCCCTGCTTGAAATCTGTCGCTGTCGCCTCTCCCCACGTTGACTCGGACGCGTCTGAACATCCCCCAACACTCGTCCACGACTGAATTTCATCTTCGTGCTGGGTTCGTTGACATGTTCTTTGAATGGTGACGGATTCACCCCGGCATCATACCCTCATATTTCATTTTGTCGCCATTTGAGAGGGGGTAATCTGTCGTACTATGACAGATACCTCCTCCCTCGCCATCACGCACGCCACCACGGATTCCTATCCGGTCCCCGCTCCTCCGGGCTCTCCCATCGCTAATGGCGCGATTTCTGACTCGGTCGCTCCCGACGAGGAAGAGCCGTACACCATCAAATGCATCTGCTCCTTTGATGAAGATGATGGAAGCACGGTCTTCTGCGAAAGGTGTGAGACATGGCAGCATATCAGCTGCTACTACCCGGACAAGCGGGTACCGGACGTGCACAACTGTATCGACTGTGAGCCCCGTGTTCTCGACGGTCGCCGTGCCACAGAGCGTCAGCGTCAACGACGAAACAAGGGGCAAAGCGAGGACGGCGACCGAAAAAAGCGTCCAGGCTCCAAAACTCAAAGGAAGAAGGGTAAGGATGGCGAAGTGAATGGATTTGGCCACCAGCGAAGCGAATCAGGGGCTCGCGAACAGCCCCCGGCCAAGAAAGCCAAGGTCTCGCACCGCTCATCCGCATCTATCAGTGCCATCCCAGGCGTCCCATCCATCCTTCCCGAATCTCGCAAAAGGCGATCCTCCACTTCCGTTGCTTCAAGTCCTACCAAAACCTTCGGCCCCTCCATTCCTTTGTACTCGAACGAATTCCTCCACCTCTATGACCGTGACGATGAACACGAAGACCGGAACAGTAATCTGTTTGTGAATGTGAGCCTGGTCGGTGACATGGCATCATGGGTGAAGGATCCGGACGCTTTGGCGCGAGTCTCCAATCGTCGTCCAACGGCGGATACTTTCAACATGTCCGATGCACCCCTCGACCGATCACAGTGGCCTACCTTGACGACCGATACAATCACAGATTCCACTATTGACCTTGGTGGTCGGAATCCGATGTGGAAGATTGTCAAGACTCAAGACGCGGTAGAAAAGGACTCCATTCTTGGAGAGCTCACCGGCAAGGTGGGCATGTTTGACGAGTATCGCCTTGATCCGAATAATCGATGGCAAGAGTTGCGCCACCCAGAACCCTTTGTTTTTTTCAGCTCTCACCTCCCTCTCTACATCGACAGCCGACACGAAGGCAGTGTCCTCCGCTACACTCGCCGATCATGTCGTCCGAACGTTACGATGAAGATTTACATCACCAATGACGTCGAGTATCACTTTTGCTTTGTCGCGAAGGATTACATCCCACCGAACTCTGAGATAACCATTATGTGGTATCTGGATGCCCCTTTGTTTGAGGCGTCCAATGGTCTTGTCAAGCAGGAATCTGATGACAGTGCCACGGAAGCAGCCTCCACCTGTCTCAGTAATACCCTCGCAAATTTCGGTGGATGTGCATGCGGAAACTCGCAGGGTTGTCTGCTCGCGAAAATTGATCGCCGTCGACACCCAAAACTATTAGAAGCTGGTGCGAAGCAACCCAACGGCAAGCGGAAGAAAGCGAAGACAAAGTCTACGGCATCTCCACAAGATACCGGTCCTGTCTCCCTCAGCCGTGCTGGTAGCGAGACAACTAAGCATCCAGAAGACGATGATGCGGCCGCCGATAGTCGCTCCACATCTGGCTCAGCGCGAGAACAACCCCAAAGTCGTGACATGAGCCCATCCACCTCTGATCTTCATGAATTGTCTAGCCGGGAGCGGCGCAAGATCGCAGACGCTGAGAAGATGTTCCAACAATTGGAAAATGGCCAGCGCCCCACGACCCAGAAGAAGAAGAAACGTGTTAGCGGCGGTACATCGGTGCACTCGCCCGCTGGTGTTTCTTCAACCTCCACTCAGGTAGGGTACTCCAGCTCGCAGAAATCAGTCAAGGGTCTTCATCTCAAGACCGGGAGCCTCTCTCGATCTCCGACAACAGCCCTGTCGCCGGTTGCCTCGTCAATTGGTCGCTTTGGCTCACCGCGCAAGGTGTCACGCCCCAACACACCAGCACAGGCTAGCCAACGCCCAACCTACGTCGATGCGTCGGTCCAGGTCGACATGGATGAGCCTGAAGAGCCTTCGGTCTCGGATCCATCACCGCGTCAACGTTCCCTCTATATACCCATGACGGTGCGACTTTTGAAACGTTTCAGTATGGATCGCGTCCGGTCTGAAGAAACTGCTCGCCAACAATTATCTTCTGCCGGGTCCGATAGTGTGGGCCCCGCTTCCTCGCCCTCTGTTCCTCGATCCCCTGCTTTCATCCGATCACCGGTGATAACCCAAGACAAGATTCAAATTCCGGGTGTCGATTCGGACCGCTCTCAGCAAAAAGAAGCAGCAGCTGTATCCGGCGATGTCGACATGCAAGATGTGTCTGTAGCCTCGGAGCCAGAATCGCCGTCCACCGGTCGAGACATCAGCAGGCCCATAATTCCTCCCCCTTGGCCATCTACCGCTGCACACAATTCTCGCATCCCCGGTTCCTTTTTGGCAGAGCAAGGAAGTCTTCGAATTTCTATGCCTCCACCAAGTGCACCACTAATCGCTTCTGTGGCCAGCCCTGGCTCTACTTCCAACCCAGGTCTCGTTTCGCCTAGCGCTTCAGACTCTACATCCCCACAAATTAGTGCGCAGCTGCCTAGCTTCAGTGTGCCAACTCCGACCCCCGCGAAGAAAAAGCTCAGTCTCGGTGATTATCTCATTCAAAAACGCACCATGGCGACTCCTACCTCGGAAAAGTCCCAGACACAGTCCGTCGCCTTGTCTGCCCCACAACAATCACCGACCACACCTGAATCAGGACCTACAATCAGTGCGGATGGCATGCAGACCCCAACCAAGGCATCCCCTGACAGCAAGATTGAGCCATTGGAGTCACCAGATGTAAAGATGAAGGATGCGCCAGAATCGAGCCATCCACACATCCCCTCTATCTCTTCGTGACATCTTTTTCTCCCCTCTTTTTGTGCGTGGTAATTACGACGTTGTTGGTCGTTTCCCGACCTTCAACTTTTATGTTTACGACCCCCCAAAAAACCTTCTTCTCGTGTGACTTGATTGGAAACTCTCTCCTTCCTATTTTTGCTGGGTACCAAAGGCGTTTATCGGATCGGGCTGTGTTTGTGACGGTCTTCTTCTCTGGTTTCTTTTTTACTTCTCTCTTTTTTTTCTTTTGGCTTCCGAATGGCGTACAGCGGCGCGATATAGGAATTGGATTATGGATACGGAAATACCAGGATTCGGTTGAATTAAGGTTAAGGAAACCTTCGACAGTATAGCTGCTAGCGAGCAGCGCTGATCTTTATGATTTGTGAGATTACTCTACTACCAATTTTTTCTTCTTCTCTCCTTCGATATGGTTTATCCATTCGAGGTACAGATAGCTTGTATGAACAATATAGCGATAGTCACTTTCATTTGGTTTTCTCTTGTATAATCTTAGCCAAGGTTGCTGCTCTCAGTCCTACAACTTGGTGATGACAAGGGTAAATGACGGCATTTATTCCGGTTTGTTGGAGTCTCCAATAGTATGCCACCGACCCACTTGATTGGTCCGGTTGAACGGCCTTCTTGCCGTCGCGGCATCTAAACCGCGCAGTAATGTATAAAAACACAGCAGCAGGCCATCCAGGCTAAAGGGACATATTACTCCTTCTCTTTGAATGCCTCCAAATATTCAACAAATTAAAGATCCCTCGCTTGCAATCCAAAATGTCCGAGACTTTCCCCCAACCCCCATCCGTCCAACTCCACGGACGAACATACAACTTGCCCCAACGCCCAACAGTGGTAGTTTGCATCGATGGCTTCGACCCCGAATACCTCCAAGCAGGAATTGAAGACGGCATCCTACCAAACATGTCCTCATTCCTTCAATCCGGCTTCCACACAACAGCAGAATGCGCAATGCCATCATTGACCAATCCAAACAACCTCTCAATCATCACCGGCGCACCAACCAGCATCCACGGTGTCTCAGGAAACTATTACCTAGACAAAGAAACCGGGGAAGAGCACATGGTCGTCGACGACTCAACTATGCACGGCACGACAATTCTAGCAAAACTAGCCGACGCAGGAATCCGCATCGCAGCAATCACAGCAAAAGATAAGCTAAGAAGAATAATTAACCACGGCCTTTTCTCGCCTTCAAAATCGTCAATCTGCTTCTCAGCACAATGCGCAAATGAAGCCACCCTCACCGAACACGGAATCCAAGACGTCGAAACTTGGCTCGGTCAATCAACACCAGCCCAGTACTCCGGTACATTATCCCTATTCGTCCTCGACGCAGGCATAAAACTTCTATCAGAAGGAAGGGCGGATTTCTTCTACCTCACATTATCGGATTATATCCAGCATAAACACGCGCCTCGCTCGATCGAAGCAAATGAGTTCATGGCCGCGATTGATACCCGACTCGGTGAATTCGTTAAACTCGGCGCCGTCGTCGCTGTAACCGGTGACCATGGTATGAGCGATAAGTCGGATCAAGATGGAAATCCGAACGTCCTCTTTCTTGAAGATTTCTTGCAGAAAGGGTGGCCTGATGCTCGGGCTAGAGTTATTTGTCCTATTTCTGATCCTTTTGTTAAACATCATGGTGCGTTGGGTGGATTTGTTCGTGTTTATCTCCTCGGTGATACGTCAGGTCCCCTCCAAGTTGAGGAAATGGTGGCGGAGTGTCGGAAATTGCCAGAGGTCGAGGTTGCGCTTACCGGCGATGATGCTGCGGATTTGTTTGAGATGCCCCCGGATCGGGAGGGGGGATTTTGTTGTCGTTTCGAAGAAGGGGTTTGTTATTGGTAGTCGGGTGGATGAGCATGATCTTTCGCTGTTGGAGGGGTTGAGGTTGAGGTCTCATGGGGGGGTTGTCGGAGCAGAGGATTCCGTTGTTGAAATCTACGCCTGTTTCTAGTCGTGCTGGGGATTGGGAGGGTGATGGGGTTGTGTATAAAAGGTGGAGGAATTTTGATATTTTTGATCTTGTTTTGAATTATTAGGATGTTGAGTATTTGGTGGGTTTTCTTAGTCAATTCAAACTGTCAGGTTGCTTATTTTCATTTATATGATGCATTTTTACTATCGAACATTATCACAAATACTTAAGGTAGTGCTAGTATATCCTTCAGAATACTAGTAGTATGTCACGCCACTTCAAGTTCATTCTGTCCCAAATAAAGGAGTTGACGACGTCTGTCCAAAGTCCCCCGACAGCATGTCGAATCCTTCAAGAGCAAAATCAAATCCGAAAATTCCATTCAACGGCCCATTATCGTGTGATTCAGATTCCCCAGTCAAAATATTTTCCAGACTTTCCGCAATTCCCTGCAATGGATGACCATGACCGGACTGATCCCCCGAAGCAGAAGCAGCAACTTGAAGAACCCGAACAAGTTCGCGTAAGTGTGTTGAAACATCATCCCCATCCACATCGCAGGTAATCAACTCGCTTTGACTCGACGCTTTAACAAGACAAACGCAAGCAAACGCAGTCACTGTCCCTATATAATAGGGTAAATTTTGCAAGCTACCCTCCTCTTTGGTGATAAGACAAACAATCGAAAGAGCGCTTTTCAACGCAGCCTCGGCAAAGTCTTCGGTACCATTGTTAGCTTTATTTGAATAAGAAGTTGAATCTCCCTCCATCGAGTCATCAGTTGCCTGACCACGAAAGACATGAGAGAAGAGATATAACCTCGCCGAGTAATAATAAACGTCAAAAACATGACGAGTAAATGGCTCTTCGCCCGATCCCTCAACAAAAGTCAAAATACCGAGCCAATCACGATACCACTGCTCATAAGCCTCACTTAGAGCAGGAATTTCACTTAATCGTTGAATAGTAACGCAATTATCCACGTCTGCGCCAAACATGTCAAAGACTCGATTGCTGATCGACCATAATTCGACCTGGCTGATTAATTTCAGGTCGGATGGCGACGAAAGTTCTGTTCTGAGGAAATCGCGTGGGCTTTTCAGAGAGTGAAAGTCTCGTGTAAGGGGTGGTTTGCCGTGGCTTAGGGAGCAGTGGTGGTCGCATAGATATACGAGGAAATATAATCGGGTCCGGTCGTAGCAGGCTCGTTTCTTGTGGGGCATTTTGGTGATGCAGCGGTGGAGATTTAGTTCGGTTGCGATTCGTACGGCTGGAATGGTCTTGTTAGTTTGGATTTTGCCACGGTGGTGTTCTATTTTTCTCTCTTCTTCTTTATCAGCATACCCAGTGAATTTAAAGCCGTGGAGATGTCGTTGAGCCACAAAGCCCCGATGCAAAGAGCGCGCACATCATCGAATTCATGATTGTTGGAAAACACTTTGCCGGATACTTCATTCTTCAGATGATCGAAGAGAGCTCGATAGTGCAGGGAACCGGAGCAGAAAGCTGCAACTGTGCAGATGGAAACTGTTAAAAGTGGCGACCTTTGCGAAATGGAGGCCAGGGAATCAGTATCGGCAAGAATATTGTAGGCAAAGGAGTCCATGTTCTGTTTATAAAATAAGAATAGACTTTCTGCGGCTTCTTGTGGTATTATTTGGCTTGATAGGAGATCTGAGCATTGTTGAGATGTGCCTCGAGGGTCCGTTAATGTGAAATTGATCATTGAAGATGCTGGGAATGCTCCGAGGCTGCAAGAAAGATTTAAAGTGACGACTTGAGATGGGTCTGCGGAATCATCCGTGAGATCTCTGCGAATCGTCTCTTGTCCATAACTTTGATAAGGCGGCTGCGATGATGAGTCGACTGCGGTGCTAAGTATATGCGCCTCCAGCTTGGCCATTCGATCTTCCATTTGCTCTTTCCAACTACCCCGATCAGTTAGATGATTAATCTCTTGATAATTCCACTCGGTCGAAAATAAGCTCATAACATACGAAGCATCACCTTCTAAAAGGGTTTGTAGACTCTTGTTCACTGTGCATGGGTTGCCGCGCGTTTTACAGCGGGTGCATGGCGGTCTATCATTATTCATATGACATTTAATCTAGTAGTGTTCAATCCTTGACATTAGTTCGATCATTGGATGTAATACACAGACTTAGAGGTAAATCCAACCTTTAATTTGCGACAGGAAACACATGCGGTGATTTTTCGCGAAACCTCGGGGATCTTCCTGTCACCGAACGACTCGCGGAGGGCCATTGCAGCAGACTCGGATCGTGGAGCCATAATGAGGGGAGGGTTACCCGGACTAGCTCGCGCTCACGGGTCCAAATACAACTTGCATCAGCGTTGGGGAACGTAGATGGAGAAAAAGGCCAGGTGTATGCGTTTGTTTGGTAGTGGTCAAGAGATGGGGTCGTGTCTATTTCCCGATCGCTCATTGATCGTAGTCATTGCGCGACCCCCGGGCCCACCACGGCATTTGTGCCAGTGGCAAACCTCGTCTTACCCCGTACAAGGCCAGATTAACTCGCCCATCTCCAATTTCTCGCCGCCTAAAGTATATACAAATCTGAAGAATGCCAGGATTTGATTTCTGCTCGTACTATTTTGTATGCCTAGCTGCCTCACCCTCTATCTGCCTCCTGGGGTGAGCCGTGAGAAGCAGCATCTAACAGCATGACATGTCCTGATTTGCAACCAATCCCAATACTAGATGCGGATACAGCAAAGGCGCTCACAACGTATACTGATGGCAACTTCAATAGATTGACTGAGTTCCATGTGATCCAAGTTTTATCCTTACTCACACCAAACCCCCGAGCAGACAGTCTTTCTAGATCTTTACTAGAGCATGACAGATCTGCGGTGGAAGATAGGGTGAATATGCCTCTTTCGGTTTCGAGGAAAGATTTAGCGACGTCCAATTTTCTGATGTAAGTACCATAACCCTCGAGGGTCTGCACACACTGCCAACTAGCGACATCCCAGAATTTGATTGCCTCCCTAGGTTCCGAGCCGAAGAAGCTTGAAGAACCTGAAGCGAGCAGTGCGCCATCGGGCGAGAAGATCAGTGAATTGATTTCATCACTTTGCCACGGAATGGTCTTGAGTAACGTCCAGTTTCGTGCATTCAGAATCTTGATGCTACCATTAACAACACAGGCGAAGAGCGTGCTATCTGGTGAGAATATCATCGAGCGAGACCTGAAATGTCTCTCTCCTATACCAAATTTGCGTAGGTGCTTCCAAGTCTGTCTATGCCAGACGGTAATGAAACCTAGTAGATCGTTACATGTAACGAGCAGCAGGCCATTCGGCGAGAAGGATACTGAGTGGTTATCATGATCACCATCATGAAGGATCTTCAGGCACTTCCAACTGCTCAGTTCCCACACCTCAAATGCCCCATTGTAATCATAATCACCAGATAAAAGCAAAAGGCCATCTGGCGAGAAATTCACTGAACCAATCCGTTGTTGGCCTTTGATGGATTTTAGGAAATTTCCGTTCCAGACGTCCCAGATCTTGATAGTACCATCGTGAGACCCTGACGCAAATAGTGCGCCATCAGGTGAGAAGTCAACGGATCCAATAACATCATGGTGACGATTGATGCCCTGTAGAGACAGCTTACTATGTACGTTCCATATCTTAACAGTACTGTCCCAAGAGCTAGAAGCAAGCTGTGTGTCATCATTTGAGAAGACCACCGAGCAAACAGGATCCACATGTCCTTTGAAGATATGTATGCATTGCCAGTCATCAGTATTCCAGACTCTAATCTCACGATCTAGGGAGCTAGATGCAAGTTTCGAGCCATCATTTGAGAAGACAACTGACAGGACACTGGCACGGTGGTCCTCGAGCTTTTGTAGAGTCTGCCAATTTTCCACATCCCAAATCTGGATACTTCCCTCGGCAGAGCCCGGGCTGCCACTACCGGAAGCGAGGAATTTACCATGAGGTGAGAATGCCACTGAATAGGCTTCATAATGGCAGCTATCAAGGGTCTGTAAACACTGCCATCCTTTGGTACACCAGATCTGAATGTGGGCTCCACAACCAAGCGCAAGGTGTGGACTGTTAGGTGAGAATGCCACTGAATTGACTTTGTAATGGCAGCTATCAAGGGTCTGTAAACACTGCCATTCTTTGGTATCCCATATATCAATATGGTATCCGCGACCAAGCGCAAGAAGTGCTTCGTTAGGTGAAAATGTCACCGAGTGGCACTCCATGTACCAACCCTCGATGATAGATAGGCACTGCCAATCGCGGGTTTGCCAGATCACAAAGGCGACGTCCGTACCAGACGCAAGCCACATATCGTCAGGAGAGAAGGCCAGTGATGTAGCCGAGCCATGGCCTTTGAGGGTCCTTAAGCAATGGCCGCTGTGAGTATCCCAGATCTTGATAGTCCCATAATTATTACCGGATGCAAGCAGAATGCCAGACGACGAGACTGCTAAAGAGTGTATATTACCTTCGTGTTCAAGGGTCTGCAGGCAATGTCCCCAGTGTTCTTCAACGATTTCGTTTGTATTTAGCCACCCCAGCTCATCCGATTCAAACTGACTTCTTGTTATGGTGCCTCGAGGAGCAAAGAACATGGCTGAAGAGTACACTTGAAGTGGATGATTCTCAATCATAACCTTATTGTATATGATGAACCGGTATGCATCTTGAACTCTGGCTTCTAGATCTGCATATCTTGCCTTGTTTTAGGTATGAGTTAGAAATTCCATTCATCGGCAATTTCTTTTATGTTCACATACCTTTAGCAAATACTCAAGCTTCAACATCGACGTGGCCCCTTCCGAAAAGCTTCTCAAGAGACTCAGAGCCTCGATCCACTGAAGCAAGTGATTGCACATAAAATCCTCAAGCGATTTGATGTCAAGCGGCTGCTCGCGTGTTTCTAGAATTACAGTTTCGTGCTTGAAATAGTCTTCAAGATGATGAACCCAGTAGATACACGCATACCTAATTGTGGCTAGAATATCTGGATTTTGCTGCTTGACCTCACCTATCGGAATGGCAGGGTCATTGAGTTTGTAAATGTTGCGTTGCAATGTTGAGTTGAGTGCTTTCAAAGACTTTGAGAAGATAGAGTAGTGTATCTGCTGCTTTCTATCGGGACGTGCCTTTTGGGATACCCGTTCGAGAAATTCTTGGGCGGACTGATGTACCAAGGTAATTTTGCGTTGATTGAGAGTAAGAAATGAGCCACAAAGCCCTACAATCTCTATGAGATCATCATCGTCCAGTGTATCAGCATTCGTGGGTCCTTGGATTTCAAGAAATGATGGTATTTCATCCAATGTGATAGGACGATAGACAGTTGTGACAATTTCGAGCAAAGAGACTCCAAGCTGAACGTCGTCGTCATTCTTTGAGTCATGAATGTTCCTCAGCATCTTATGATACATCTCATCAAGGCCAAGAGGGAAACTAGGAAGATCCTTTTCAAGACGCCGTTTTGAAACTGCATGTAGTTGTTCGCAAGCCAAAGCCACCCAGAGGAAGGTTCCCTCTGAATTTGATTCCAAGTGCTTTTGAAGACTTTGCCTTTGGCCTTCTGTGTATTTCTTCCTCTCGGCCAGTTCTTCAACCTTATACTCGATAAAAAACTGAACAGCACACGACAAGCTGTACCCGTTAAGCCCAAGGTCGATTTTGACGTGTGAGACAATGTTGAGACTTTCGTTGATATTTTGCCAGTCGCGGCTTGACACAAGCCATTTCACATGCGGATATGATGATGAGTGTTCTTCTAGGAACTTGAGAAGTTTATTCAAATCAGTGACACACTCATCGAGTGCATCAATGATAAGGTAGGTACTTCCTAGGGCTGTATCTCGAAAAATATCCAGACAGACCTGCCGTGCTTGGACCCATCCATTGTCATTCCCAGAAAATTCTTCCGGGATGTGTCTAATCAACGAACCTTGCTGTTTGACAAGCAAAGACATGATTCCCCGCAAGACTGCTGTGGCACTGTTGATTTGGCTGTTATTCGCTTGGCAGAAAAAGTATGCGATATTGCTTTCATCGGCATCCTCTTTCAAAACCTCATCAATGATCCCGCAGATCAACATTGTTTTGCCTTTACCAGGAGCTCCTTTGATCCACAGAAGCTGGTCAGATTCGGTGTTTTTTTCTCCACCGCTTGAAGTCGTCATTATTGAGAATCCAGCGATATGAGCCTTGAAGAAGACCACCCTTTTCCTCCTCGATTCGCTTTTTATCATATGCTGGATCCGTGGTGCTAATGGCATTTTGACGGTGTCGGTGTTCGCTTTGAGCCGAACGTTGCTCATTCTTCTGTAGTGCGACTCTTATTTCTCGCACTATAGTTCCATTGGTTAGACACATTTTAATCGGAAAAGAAAAGACAGATTGTGGCAATAATTAAGTATCATACTAAGCTCCTCAATATCATCCACTTGAAAAAGATTTGGTGAGCGAGTATTGGGCATTCGACGCAAGCTAACTATAATTAGTACTTACCCTCTTCAACAAGTCCGCGCGCTTCAGATGCATTCTGAACATCTTCCACTTCTATTATTTGGATCAACTCCTTCGCATAGGCAGCTGCTGTCGCAGCAGCATATTTCTGCCACTGGTCATTTTTGTGACTGTCACAGTAATCACAGACACCACGAATAACGAGACATGGAAAATCGTTCATTAGCCCCGCAGCTTCCGTTTCAAAGCAGAGACACTCGGAGAAAATGTCCCGTTTGCGTGCATCTTTGACAACTTGATTTCCAGAGGCAATTGTTCCGTAAAAGATATAGGGGTCCAGATCGTCACGCTTCCGACGTCTCAGTTGCTTGGAGGCATCACATTCATAGCAGTCTCTCTTGTTGCTTGGATGGTCATAGTCTGGATCAAACAGACGGTCGTGCTCTGAGCCCTGATGAACATAGCCGGGTCCTTGTCGAGGCTTGGACATCAATGGATATTTCGTGCGCATAGCATCCAATAGGTCGGGAATGATGCTCCCAACCATCTCATGCTGGCCTTGAAGTGCGCTCACGGCATTTAGCAACACGGAAGGAGGAGAGTTCAAAATTCCCCGCTCCTCGAATCCCTGCGTTGTAGCTTTCCCGCAGTCATATTGCCGTACACCTCCAAAGGAGCCTTCCGGTTTGCTAACTACGACATCACCAAGTCGGATATCGTTATCGTCGCTCGGAATACCACCTCCAATTCCAACCATCAGCCCGAACTTGATCTGCGGAAAACTGGAAAGCATCCCTGCAGCAGCCTTGGCGGCAGCCGTAGTCCCATACCGGCCTGCTGGAAGACTGGCAATGACAACATTATGCTTGCCCTTCGGACCGTCGATAGAGCCTAGGGTATAGATGTTTGGATCTTGGGAGTTCTTAGACTGAGGTGATCCATGTTTCTCGTCGAGCATAGATTCCGCAGCTGCCCTTTCATGTGGTAATGCAGCGATCCAGCCGATAGCATATTCTGAATTCTCGAATTGAGGGGGCATGGTACCGAAGGAAGACCATCCGCTTTCGTGTATTTCTCAAACTCTTTCAGGTTTTTGAATATTGATGGGATGATGCAGTATTAAATAAATAACTTGCCTAGGTGTGCACAAACAGCCCTGGACTAGGGAAAGAAACAAAAATATACACCACCTGGGCAGCTAAACGCTGGTGTTGAGGCTGGCACTGGCATTTGAGGTGGCCACATGCGGGGCATGTCCACCTGGGCACCTGGGCACCCGAGCGCCGTGGTGCCAAAATTAGTTGCATACTAAATTCCAGATCTTGCGTTCGATTACCTACCCTGTAACCCATATGATCAATATCTTCGGCTGGCATCCAGCCTACTTGTTCGTATACCCAGAATCTTGCATAGACAGCCTGCAGTGCTGACGTGTCATTCTTCATAAGCAATCGTCGAAGTACCTGCAAGCGCCTCAAAAATCGTGGTGTTTCAGCCATAAGATGACAAGTTATTTTATTGGTAGTTACATGGGGCTGAGATGAGAGCATTCAGCGGCGCTCAAAAGCCGTAATCGACCCAGTGTTTCTGTCAGGGCGGCATCTTCTCAAAATTAGTTCAAGACTAGTGTTTCCGATGAGGCTCTGCCGCCCCTCAATAAGGCCATTTCGCTTCCATGGTTTATGCTAACGATTCAGGGTACCGACTATATAGCTGGGTATGATATCAAGTAGTATAATGTCTCTACTACTGGCTATCTATACTACCGATATACTGATACTAGCGCCAACTAAGTACTCCCTGGTCCTAACTGTAGTCTATAGGCATTCTAAAGCTATTTTACGCAGTATTATAGTCTGCGTTCAAGTTTTGATAGCAGAGACTATACACTGCTGCCCTGGAGAAACTAGGTTGATCGTGGCCACCCTGCTCATCCCATTATTGGCAACTTTTAGCTTTTGACTCGCATACTTTGAGTGACAGATAGTAAATATCTGTTGGTGATATCTGCTGGTATCATATATGTATATGCTGGTAGGTGAAGTACCAACTGGTGTGGGCAAAAAGGGAAGTCCCTGGTCGTGCCTTCCTCACTTCATTCACTGCCATCACCATCACCCACGCTCCTTCCCTCCCTCCTCTCTTCTCTCTTCTCTCTTCTCTCTTCTCTCTTCTCTCTTCTCTCTTCTCTCTTCTCTCTTCTCTCTTCTCTCTTCTCTCTTCTCTCTTCTCTTCATCCATCTTCACTGTCATTCTTTTGTCATTCCCTCCAATGCCCTCTCCCCCTCCATTTCTCATTCACTCCAAGCCCGCGCTCTGGTATCTCGACATTCGAACCCCTCTCTCCAACTCAGGTATCTCTCACTTCTCTCACCTCTGGTCCAGGCTATTGACATCACTCTTTCTAGCGCAGCCGATCATGTCCACAGACTCGAACTCACGCATACTTTTCATCTCGCTGAATCCCCATCCTGGATTCTATCGGAAGTACAGATCTCTAGTATCTCGAGTACTTCAGGTTGCCTCGCTTGAGCAAACCAACAAGCCTATTCCCGCTATGCGCGCACTTGGAGAAAATCCCAAAGCTGTGATCATAACTGACGACGCACTTGCGACACCAAGATTCTCAACTGTGTGGGGTGCCGTGATCCGCTACATGCGAAATGGAGGAACTGCAATTTGCATGGGAGACTTCAGCTGTCGACTTCGGGAAGAACATTTTCGCACGTTCTTCTCAAGGGCCGGCCTGACGTGGGAGTACGATTCCTTCGGTCTATACCAGTCCAACTTGAACTCTGATTTTCTTCCCAAGGAAATCACCGACCTTCTGCCCGCCACGCACTTTGCAAAAGCGGTTCATTTGACGAATGTCGGAGACGCTTCCTGGTATCGTCTACAGCATATCATCAAGCGCAAGCAGGAGCATGATGAGGACGCAATGTCTGATGAGCAACCGCCGGCTTGGACTATTCTCAAGGACTCGACTCCTGTCGCGATGGCACAGGTTGAGAACGGTTATATGGGGTTCGTGGGCAACGCCAACCCCTCAGAGGAGTCCAATCTGGTTATTATCGCGATGTGTGGACTCTATCTCTGAAGGCGTTGACTGCGAGCTCGACTTGCTTGCCTGCACACCACCGGGCTTTTCGATTTTCCGTCCTGTGACGACGAGACTGAAGCAAAGATGTTCTAGTTGCAATCCTGTATTATTTTATGTATCATCGAATGGGACTGACAATCTACCTTTCCACTTTATGTCTAAGGGAAGAAGTGCGAAATCCCAAGTCAGGATTCTGATTGTGTAATCTCCGATAGGTAGATGTCGCCCTATCAGACGCAGCATCGGGGCTGCAATAAGCACCATTTCCGCGTCGGCACGAAGTCCGTCGCGTCGTCATAGGCCAACTGCAAAATGAGTCAACCAGATCATCCAGGGATCAACCTGAATGGGAAAACATGCACACGAGCATTCAAGGGAGTGCCCAATTGTTTCTTGGATCTTGGATTCTCTTGTCCTCTCCATCATCCCAAAGAACTCTGAGATAAGTATTCCACCATGAATGCTTCCGACCGAGAGTCTGTCGCCTTACACGAGATCCGATCGCTCCAGTCCGGAGATGATATAACCTCCGAGATCGAACAGCCCACTTTGCTTCCAGCAGATGGTGGTAGGGCTGCCTGGCTGATGCTCGCATCCTGCTGTTTAATTCAGCTACCAGTCTGGGGTGGGCGATGTACCCAGTCTCAAGACTGGCACTCACTAATACAGGAATTCTAGGCTTCTCCTCGGTCTTCGGAGTCTTCCAAGAATACTACACCACTCATAATGTCCTCAAGGGTAACAAGAGTGACTTGGCTACCGTGGGCACCACCTCAACTGTATGCCAAAACTACCGAGACATATTCTGGCCTGTGTCTTATCCATTTTCTAGGGCCTGCTCTATCTTCTTTCGCCCATTACTTTTACCTTGCTGACTCGGTATCCCCGACTGCAAACCTACTGCGCTCCAGCAGGGCTCATTATTACGGTCATAGGGTCTCTGCTGTCATCTTTCTCGGAAAACGTATGGCACTTGATCGCGACACAGGGTGTGATGTGTGCCATTGGTAATGGTCTACTTTTCAGTCCGTCGTCTCTCTACTTGGATCAATGGTTCGTCCGGAGAAAAGGTCTTGCGCTGGGAACTATGTGGGCTGCCAAAAGTATTACCGGAGTAGTTCTGCCTTTTGTTGCAGCGAGCTGTTTGGTACGATTCGGTTCGAGCACAACACTCAGAGCTTGGACAGTCATAACGGTAGGTTCTTCCCTTGCTTTATTGACTTTATGTCGAAGATTCTTTCAACATGAATCCTAACCCGAAAACACAGTTGATCTCCACACTTCTATCGCTACCATTCATGAAGCCTCGGATTCCAGTTTCGCCCTCAGCATCAGCTCGTCGTCTCGATCTAGGATTCCTCAAATTGGGCACTTTTTGGATGCTCCAAGTTGGCAACATCATTCAGAGTTTCGGCTATTTCTTACCAACAACATATCTTCCAACCTACTCAACAAGTACAATCGGGCTGCCCCCGACCATGGGGACTATGCTCGTTTCGCTCTTCAACGCCACCTCTGTGTTCGGTGGCATTACACTAGGAATGCTTTGCGACCGCTTCGCTGTCACTAACATCCTACTCCTCTCATCGTTAGGATCAGCGTTGTCTGTATTCCTCTTTTGGGGAATGGCATCGTCTTCAGATGATGGTCCCTCGCAGACAGCTTTAGCATTGCTTACTGTCTTTTCGATATTCTATGGTTTCTTTGCTGGTGGATTTAGTTCTACCTGGTCGGGCATCATTACGAAAATCAAAAGTGATTCTTCCTCCTCGATGGAAACGGGGTTGGTGTTTGGCCTGCTTGCTGGGGGCAGGGGAATTGGAAATGTTATCAGTGGGCCTCTCAGTTCCGTATTGATTCGACAAGGTTCAATTGGTGACTCCCATGACCAAGATCTTGGATCGGGCTTTGGAACTAAATATGGTGCTCTTATTTTGTTTACTGGAATTACGGCATTGCTCGGAGCATGGGGCTGGATGTGGCGGTACATCAGTCCTGCGATGCGTTGCATGAGTTGAAACTGAGTCAATTCAGTCCATAGTGGAGTGGATCGGGGTATTTTGGGCGTCAATAGGATTAAATAAGTTCTTTTAGTTTAAAAATTCAAGACTTCCCATAGAATAAATTAGTGAAATCTAATCCCAAGTGAATCTGCTTCTAAGAGAACCCGATCTATACCAGCCTATACCAGATCACGTGAGCGCCCGAGCTTCACCTCGAGTCCGCCGCAACGAACAACTTCGAAATCGCAATCTCCCTCCCATCTCCATCAGCCCGATTGAAGCCTCTCCCAGGCCAGTCGGACCATCAATACCAACCATGGCCGCGGTCGATCCTGCTCTGCAGGACCCTCTCCTCTCACTTCGGCGCGCCATCGCCTCCGGCAGCCTCCCAACCCCGACGACCTCTTCGGAGCTCACCAACGAACATGCCACAGAGGATCTAGCCCAAGCGACACATCTATTCTTCTCTCAACCATCTCCACAAGTCATCGCCCTTTCAACACCGACGCGATTCGTTTCCGCATCCACCAGCTCCCCCGTCGACCTACGCAGCATCTTTTTCGCCTGGCAGAAGAAAGACGTCGCTATCCCCGAATATATCGCATCGGCGCAGGAACTGAATGAATCTCTCAAGTCAAAGGAGGGCGATGACACACAGGTCCAGATCCTGGTTTTCGTCGAGCGTCTGGATCTGCTCACCTGGTTGGAAGGTGCCGACGCTACTAGCGAATATATCAAGCCTCTGGAAGGCGCTGCCGCTGCCGCTGAGGCGGCCGTCGCTGCAGGTGCTGTTCAATCCGATGCTGCGGCTGGAATTGCCTCTGGGGCTACTGGGGGTATCTCGACGGTTCCCAGTGGACCTGTCGGAGCCGTGACGACAGGTGCTCACGGAAGCCGTGCGCAAAAGACTATCGACCCCCGACTACAGGAGATCTACAATGGCGAAAGAAAGACCGGAGATCGAAACACCGTGCTACGAGGAATCAAACCAACCGTAAGTTTCCTTTTGGTTTCGACCTCAATTACCTCCCATCCCTATATACCCACGCGAAACAAGACACTAATACCGCAATCAACGGGAAACAGGACTTCTCGCACGTCCGGAAAAGCGCCGAGCTCTTCCTTGATCGAAACCGCAATCGACCCGGCCAAGCAGGCGTAAAGCCAGGCAGCAAGACTTCCGCCATGGTGCCGGCGCCGTCCGCGGGGCTCTCCGCACCATCGCGCAAGCCAAGCTCCCGCCCCGATCCAATCATCCTCCTCTCCCCATCCGCCTCTTCTCTCATCCGCATGTCGAATATCAAATCCTTCCTCGGCGAAGGTATCTTCGTGCCACCCGACCACCCAACACTGAGCATGTCGACCGATGCCAATTTCATGGAGATCAAGCGTCCGTTACGCATCAAGTCCGATCCCTCCAATCCCAACGCTACCTCGATCGGTTCGCACGGTGGTGGTCGCGGGCCCAAGCCAACTAAATTCATTCTCGTCGACGGCACGACTAACTTCAAACCTGAGTACTGGTCGCGGCTGGTGGCTGTCTTTACGACTGGCCAGACGTGGCAGTTCAAGTCTTATAAGTGGTCTTCGCCGCCGGAGCTCTTCAAACATGCGACGGGTATCTATGTTGGCTGGCGTGGCGAGGAGACTCCCCCGTCCGTGAAGGGATGGGGTCGTGGCGTGAATAGTTTCGCTGTCGAGCGGTGGGATGAGAAGGGTGGGATTCAGGGTTCTGGACGCTGGCGGGATCGTGAGGTTGTTGAGGGTATTTGGACGGCTATTGAGGAGGGCATGAAGCTTCGTGGCTGGGGATCTAAGTAAAATCCTAGCATCCACTTCGTGCATTGCATCTCTTTCGTCATTCTTCTTCTTCTTCTACTACTTTTGTTTTACTTTTTTTTGGTCCTCGATTCCCCCGCTTCTATTTCCATTCTGGATTCCTTGTTTCTTTTCCTCTCCCCATCTTTCAATCTGGAATCTGATGACATATGACAACTCGGGTGCGTGGTTTTCGGCGTTGTCTCCGGTGTGTAATAAAATAGTCTCTCTGATATATCTCTTTTTTTTTATCTTTCTTCTTGGAGTTTTTGGTCAGATCTCATTGTCCCAAGGGTATCTGGGTATAGTAGGGCAAGAGCGAGCTTTTCAGGGTAATCGGGGCTCTTTTTGCCAAATCCTCGCAAACAAATTTCTGGCTCGGATCTAAAGTATCTAATCATCAGACTTACCTTAATCAAACAAGATGAGTATGGCTAGATAATGTTTAGGGGTCACTCTCCGGCTAGCTTAGCTTATCGCAGAACTCATTTAAACCACAATTTATCGTTGACACTTTTATAACTGGTCTTACAAATTGAGCACTCTGAGTTGGTGACCTAGAGTATAGAACCACCCATTCTCCTGGCGAGATACTAGTAGTACTCATCAGTATGAGCCCCCATATACTAAAGCTCAATATCGATATCATTCATCGATCGACAGTCCGGGGTGGGGGAACAGGTTTACAAGTTCAAGAGTTACAATTTACAATTTACAGTTTACAGTTTACAGTTTACACAGGCAGAAGGTAGATGCTTATAAGATCGTCATGTCCATTGCAATTCCCGTCTGAAGCGAGATAATATGACATACATAAGAATACCAGAACTCACACGCTGTGCCCAAAAGAAACAATGCAGTGCCACGCACAGTGATGAGAACAGATAGGAAATAAAATGCTTGAAGATCATGCAAAAGAAAAAAAGAAAAAATATGGAATGGAAAGTGTGAGCAAGAAGAGAAGAAAAAGATAGGAAAACATGCAGATTAAAAATGGAAACAAAAACGCCGTGTCTGATGCTCAAACAAAACAACTGGAGGCATGGGACGAGTTCGAGTCGAGTCGAGTCAAGTCGAGTCAACCACCGGGAGGAGGATCTTTGGTGTTGACATTTTTCTTCTTCCTTTTTTTGTGTATTCTTTTTCATATCCATTTTTTGCGAGTGTTGTTGGTTTCCTTCCTTCGTTTGGCTCGTTCAAAGCCCATCGTGGAAGAGGGTGGGTGGGGTAAGGTGGTGAATGAAATGATCTGGATATCGTGTCTGAGATGCAAGGGGTAAAAGAAAAACGTCATCCGAATATTACAAGTGGTTCCCAAAAATCCGAACCTTCTCTATAACATGAGGCATCGATCGTAACGTCTTTCATCGAGAGGGAGGACAAAAGGAGAATCTCGTGGCGAGGCAAATTAAAAACGGGATGAGAAAAAATGACAACCCGGAAAACCCAGTGTCGAAACTTTAACCTGAGAAGGTAAAGAGTCCGGGGCGGCGCGATTTCCAGGCTGCATGCGATGTGAAGCAAAATGGGGGAAAGGGTTTCGTGGTTCGGAAACGATCATGACGAGATTGATGAAATCATGTTCCGGAATGAAAAGGAGAAGGAAGAAGAGAGACACTTCCCTATTTCCTTTCCCGGAGATAAGACATGAAGACACACAAACAACCCCTGTCGCGGGTGTGATTACCGCGTTGCAGTCACACAGGTATCGGGAGCGGATAGGACTCGATTGGCCCATATCGCATCCGCGAAACTCTGATCTGAGACCGCAGAAGCGTTGAAGCTTGGCTGTTTAAAAGATGGCAGGGGTGTTGAATGGGTTCGAATCACGACGAAGCCGGTCTCTGTTTGCTGTGTTGCAAGTAACGTCGACACTGGCTCGCGGTGATTGTCATGAGCGTGCAGAGCGGCTCATGCTGCGTTCCGGACCGCCGGGTGTCGGTGAGTACGAGCGCGACCCGCCGAAAATGTCCACATCGTGTTCTTGGAGGACCACCGAGTACTTAGGATCGCGGAGGAATTTAGGAACGGAGTCCTGGGAATCAAAGTTAGCATAAAATAACAGAAAATTGAAAATTGGAATTGGAGTTTCCAGAATGAAACATACACTGGACATCAGCTTGAAGACTGAGGTCTGAGCAAGCTCGAACAAATGCACCACTTCCTGAAGACTCTTGAACATCGACTCGTCGTCACCCACGGCCTTGGTCATACGGCTGGCAAGACTGTTGCGCAGGGCGTGATCAATGTTCAATTCACAGGGGGGATCCGGGGGCTAAGAACGCGTTGTACAGGCCTGTTACATGTTAGAGACCATTGACTAGAAATGGCAGTTGCTAAGGGAATAACGTACCATAGGCGGCTGCCAGAGTTTCCCGAACGGAGTCAACCTTGGTGAAGGCACCAGCCTTCTCGGACTTGTGGTAGTTGGCAGTGAACTCGGAAACGTCGAGGTAGAAGGACAGGTTCTCTTCGCACAGAGAGTAGCGCAAGAACTCGCGGAAAAGAAGACGGAGAGCGGGGTCACCCAGGATATGTGTCAAGCGAGCGTTGTTGGAATCGCGGGGCATGCCACGGCTATCGTAAGTGGTGGGGTTATTCTGAGCCTTTTCGCGGGCAATCCATCCACACACACGCTGGCCTCGCTCGGTGATGCAGTAGATAGCGTATTTTGACGGTTGGAAGACGACATCCGAGTCTGGGAAGGACTTGTCGTCCTGAATCATCGTAATAAGGCCGTATTTGAGGAACAATTCCGCGATCAAACAAGTCTCCCGACGCTCGATTGTCGTTGAGCAATCCATCAGCCAGTCGACGGCACCCTTTCCGGTGAAAGTGTTGCTGTAGAGCTTGCCATCCTGCAACTTCCGCTCCCGAGCCATCTTAACACCCACAATACCGTTCGAATAATCGCTCAAGGAGTCGGAGTCTGATGTGGAAATGCTGCTCTTGATGTTGGGACCATCTTGGCCGGCGAAACGGCGGAAGATGACTTCGACAGTGGCTCGGTCGTGCGACAACTTATCGGACTCGGTGTCGCGTTCTAGGTTTACCAATTGCATGGTGTTGCGGGGTGACTCCAACACATCCATCACGTGACGAGCGGTAATACCGTTCCGTTGACAAAAGCGCTGCAGGATGTTAATACCCTTGGGGGTGAGCTGAAAGAGGGCGCCCTTGAGGGGGAAAATAGGCAAGGCCTTGCCATCAACCGATTCGATGAACCGAGCGTCCACAAATCGCTGGCAGACGGAACGTGCCATTTCCTTGGCCATGGAGAAAGTGGTGGTAGTGGTGGTGGTGACAATGCGCGAGGGGTCTTTGGGGTCAGGCATGCGGTTCGATTGGGAGAACTTCAGAGATCCGAGGTTGTTGATCGCTTCTTCTGAAGTAAAGGTGTGGTCATATCTCGTGAAGCGGACACGGTGCGAGTCCAACTTCAAGCTCACCATTAAGGTGGAGAAGAGGTCCATGAAATCCTATAAAAGCAAAGAAAAAAACCAGTGTAAGCCTCCAATTGCCATATTTCCTACACAAATTGTGTCCTGTTCTTTCCAACCTACCTTGGTGAAAGGTCTTTCATCCTCGGTCATTCGCAATAGGCGGGACGAAGTTTGATGCATTTTGGGAGGCGCGGCTGGCGCAAGGCCCGGATGCACAGGGCGAGATTCGAGAGGAGGAGTCGGGACGCGCTGGAGAGTCAGGCGTCGTTTCTGAATGGTTTGGGTTTCGGGGAACCAGATCGCGAAAGGCCCGACAATTGATCGTAGGTATCTTCGTCGGAGAATGGCGGGGTCAAGGGGGTAGTGCTCGCGGGTCGAGTCTGTTTGGCGAGACTGCTATTAGAAGCCGAAGATCGTAGAGTTGTCGTCCCTATAGTCGGTGTTCCGATGGTGGAGAGGCTGGCGAAAGCGCTGGAGGTTCGCTGTGCTATAGCAGCAAACGAGCGGCGGTTGCGACGGGAGATAGAACCGACGACTGACCCCGAGAAGGTAGTTGGCGGATTTGAATAAGTTGAAGCTGGATCAGTCGCTGGGGGGTCGGCGAAGGGAGAGATAGTGCGTGAGTAGGATTGAGGAGGAAGGGAAGGAAGAGATTCTTCTCGGTAGTGGTTCACGGAGGGTAGGGTTGGCATTGAATGGTTTTGCTGCCTTTTGGGTGAACCAGACTTCGGGAAGAGTGTGAAAAGTGGGTAAGTCAATCAAGCCCTGATGATACCAAATGATCTGTACATCAAAAGGGGAAGATTGTAATAAAAAAAGAAAGGGAAAAAATAGGAAAAATTGAAAAGAGGAAAAATAAAAATAAAAAATAAAAAAACCCAAAAATTAGGGTGTGGAACTCCCTTTACTCCGTAACAATCGGGAGAGAAAGAGAGGAGGGGGGGTGTGGAATGGGTTGTATGAAGGGGGTGGTTGGGGAATTGTGAAATATACACTATAAGTTTCCAATTTTTTTCTCTCTTCTCCCTTTCTCAAATAATAAGAGAGAATGGAAAACAAAAAAAGAGGGGAGGGGGTGGGTGGGCTTGAAACGAGCCTAGGGGAAGTCAAGACAAGGGCAAGCCAAAATAATAATAATAATGAATAAAATGGGAATAAAATAAAATAAAAGGGAAAAAAAAGAAAAAAAAAGAAAAATCCATTGATATGCACCCCTCCCCTCTTCCATGCCCCCCTTGTGAAGAATTACAGCCATTCGGCCTGTCATCCATGACCCACAGCCCACGCGTGAGCTCGGCCGGAAAGAGTTTGGTGTGCTGCATCGTCGCAACGTGGGCCAAGGGAAGGGATTGCCTCATGGTGAAGATCGGTGGGTTCCTTGTTTCGTACAGGGGTCTTGGTATTACACAGCGGCCACCTGCTGTATCTTACCCACTTTAGGGATTTGGATGCTGTACATGTACAGTGTATAGAGTACAATTAGTATTATGCTCATACTCAGAGTCATAGTCATTATTCTTCAAGTTCTACACTCCCAGGTGAATGGCCACCTCTTCCACATGGCTTGGCATGTGGCATACCTCCGATCATGCCAATTCAATCCGGTTGGGGCAATGATCATCTCAACCCTAGGGGAAGAGAGGGGGAGAGGGGGGAAATAATATATGAATCATACATTAATCATTCAATAGTTACCAGATGGTTTCAAGGGAGCCTCCTCTGGAGGCTCCTCCTTATCGGGAGATAATTCCAAATACATGGGATGGAACACGGAGATCATCAGCCCTCCACCTGAACCAACAACCTTGGAAGAAAATAAATCATGCTCCGTATGAGTACTCCGTGTAGAGTACTCCATACAAAAAAAATCCACAGTCAATGATTTCACCGTCTCGACTCAACTGTGGTTGACCCACCCCAAGGAAACTCGCGAGGCCGAACAGATCCGCCGATCCTAACGGTATTGTACACGGTATGCAGTACAGTATCTGTGTATGTATACATAGTGTACGTACTGTATACTGTATGATCACCCGAGACGGTCGGGAAATCCCCCTCTCCGCAAACTCTCTGACTGGCTTGAAGGGACTGGACTTGACTGGATGTAGTAAGTGCCCCCTATCATATCACTGGCAGAAAACAAGGTGATCCGAATCTTCAGGATTCATCATCATTCATTGGTTACACTTCTGACCAACTCACTCCACTTACTCCGGACTCTGCCTTTTTCCTCCCCCTCCTCTCCACCCATTCTCCACCACTTCCACCTCGTTTTCGGCCCCAGACCCTGATCGGGAAATGGTGCCTCTTGCCCAGCAGCCAAAGCTTGAAGCCCACGTGGGAAATCCGGCCTCCCACTCTCTTCTCCGTCTCTGACACCGTTTGATACCCAGGAACTTTATCGGGGAGAAGGTGGTGGCAAAGTGTGTATGTTTTATCCAAGATTCCCTTCGATCCGATCTCCTGACTTACCGTAGACTAGTCTAGCCTGCCTTCGAATCTGATTCTTGTATCCTCCGATTATTTTCCGTGATGATTCACACGGTAAGTGAGTCCGTCTAGAAACTGCCGGCTGGCCGCGCTTGATGCCGTGCTGATTAGGCGTCACATGTTTCACGGCGCAAGACAGCGATGGTCGACAGCGAACAACGGACAACGGAAGACGCTTTCGCAGACAAGTCCGATCGGAGGCTCCACTTCTTCTTTGTCCCCTGTCCCAGTTCCAGTTCCAGTTCCAGTTCCAGTTAGCCACCAGTGTTTCGGGCTCAAGAGTGGCCCCCCCGCGCGTGGCTGAGCCCAATTGCCCACTCCTTTTACGCTTCCACCGCTTCCACGTTTCCACGACCTTTCCAGGCGTCTTCGCTATGGCCCATGTGGTGGTCCACGTGGACACACGTGGAGTCCCAAGGTTAGCGCCTGAACGCCTGAACGCCTGTGCGCCTGAGGTCTTTCGCTTCTTTCTGCCCGGCGCGGCCTGGCGTCTTGCCTCTGCCTTGCTTTCTAGCTTTTTCCTTCTTAGCCTACTATCCTAGTCAATGGTTCGTGCCTGGACAAGCCGTTTGTTTCATCGCCCCAACCGTTTTGTCGGTTTTTTTCTTTCGGATAGCGACCTACATAGGGCCGTTGACTAGCGTTAGCGTCAGGGGCAGCTCGGCAGTCTTCTTTGTTTGCCTCAGCCCTCTCGTACATACTGTATTCCGTGTCTTGCGTCTCTTTGCAGCAATGGAAAGGCGCACCTGCGCACAGACACTAGCTGGCCTATGAACCAAGCTGTCTAATTTCCCCCAGACTCGGATCATTCTAAAGGATACGAGGGGGACATGGGTTCCAACCAATGACCGGGGTGCCGATCGCTAACCCCGGTCACTCCAGAGTTCCTACTATACTCGTACTCAAGTGCCTCATTTCCCATTTCTTTAATTTTAATCCAAAAAAAGGGTTTTTTCTATCAGCTCTCAGCCTTCGGAACCACCGGCCCCCTAATTCATTTAGGCGTCCTGTCGTTCGAGAGCCTCATCGTCTCCTCCAGCCACCAGATATGACGGGATGGAGCGATCCATTGCACGCTCCTTTCTTTCTGTACCGCCCCTCGCGCACCTCATTTGGGGCCCGAACCCCAACACGTAAGGTACTCCACACTAAATGAGCCAACAATCCCCATCATACGGAGCAATTGAGCACGATGACAATTGTTTCCAGAGGATAGACCTGTCAGACACGTCACCTAGATGATCCAGAGGCTGTGCGGTACTCTAACCAGCCAACCAGATATTGATAGAGCTATCACGCGAACAACAGCTTCCGCCGGGAGCCGAGCCGATCAAGGATTGGACAGATAAAGGCGCGCTTGGACAGGACAAACGCTGCCTCAGCTCCAGCCCCAACTCCGGGGGAGGGGGAAAGGGCAGATTATACTTTTCAAGGGGGGCCAATCCTGTAGGATGCGAGACTCCTACTGTACATAGAATCTTCTATGCAGATCTGGGCTTTTGGATGAATCATAACCTGCAAGCGATCTATCGATTCGGCTCGATCTCAGTGCCATGCGAATGCCACGTGGAATTGATGCGAAGCGATCGCAAGCCTCGCATCTACGGTACGGAACTCAAGTACTTCTCCTAAAGGGGAATTGATACGTCGTTTCTCAACTCAACTCAACCCGGGTGGTCCCAGTCCGGGGGCCGATTGGAAGGGGGGCCAACAACACCAACCAACACCAACACTAACCAACACGGGAGCAGCTCAGCCCTGTCATGGCTGGCGGGCAAAAATCAGCCTCAACTGCTTGAGTATTGTGTAAATCGGCCCCCAAATTCCTAGACACGCCCGGATCGAGCTGTCAACCCCCAAACCTAAAACCCGAAACATTGCCGAAAGATCCCGTACACAAGCCACCACCAAGAAGAACAAAGAAAAGGGCTGATGAAAGCTAGCTAGGGGGAAGGAAGAAGAATCCATGGAGCGATCGTGCCATGGTTGGGGAATGAAACTATAGAATCCTTGGCGTTCAATAATACCACAACCACTACGGAGTACGGAGTAGTGTATGCGTAAAATACAAAGGCAGAAACAGAAACAGAAACAACTACTGATACAAGTACAGTGGACCTTGGGCACTGGAAGGGGGAGGATTAGCGTCAAAATGGTATGCAGCAACAAGGAAGCCTACTGTATGTATGTCGCTTCCGTCCGACCTAGCCGTTATCACGGCCAATCTAACCATTTACCTCTGGCAGAAGTGGGCACAGATAATGATAATGGGGATAATGGAAAATTGAGACCCCCCCGCTAGGTCAATTCAGGATAATTCTCCATGAGCGGGAGTTGCGGTCAGATAGCTTCAACGGCACCAGGCCCAAACTCACAGGCCCAGTGATCCTCGGGACCGCCGATCGTTCGTCTGGAGATTTGATTAATCTCTTGGCATTGTAACTGCTCTGACTAAGAGGCCACATTCACATTCAAGTGGACAATAGATGTACTCCGTACAAGGATACATACGGTGATTACCATTGTATTGTATAAAGTACAGTAACGGGACCCTCTTTTCCGTATCGTACGTATCCAACATCCCTGACCGCCACGCGAGGAAGTTTCATGCAGGTCACCACCGCCTGCGACCCGAGTGGTTCAGGGGTCTGGGGGCGAAGAGTGACAGGTAGTGTCCTCCGTAGGGCCCAAACGAAAGAGACGCGGGAAAAAAGAAATCATAAGAAGAGACATTTGCATGCTAGAACGCTAGCATGGCTTATGGCTTGGAGGGGGCGCGCAGATGATTGATAATCACGAAACCTAGCAAGTCATGTCTTCCCTGTCCGAAAACTAGTTCATCTGGTACCTAGGTACATACATACTCTGATGCCTGGGGGATCTGCGACTGGAATTTGAAGTGTCTTAACTCCGTTGAGTCGACACATGAGTACTCAGTACGCCGTACATGCGCTGGGGCTGTCCTCCATTCACCCAGGGATGATGGGGGAGATTGGCTCAGCGTCGTACAGGAAACCCCATCCCGACCAGTCACCGCTTGATTTCTCCCTTACCTCCAGGTAGGAGGTCGCAGCGCAGCGCCTGTTCCCATTCTTGTGGCCATCATGCAATCTAGACACAAACAAAACAGCCGCACCCGCACCAGCGCCCGCGCCCGCGCCCTCGCAGGAATGTGGCTTCGTAAAATAAGTGGGTTTGGGGCCTCTACATAAGTCGCGACTCCTTTTGATAGCTGTTTTCGGAGTATTTTAGCAACCAATATCGTGTCATGCTCCCGAGTCTGAATTTGGCTTGGGCTTATTGCAACTACCGACGGCCGAGGCCGGGCCGGAAATCTGCTTTCGGTATTTGCTCGTTGGGCTGATCCTTTTGCTGATCCTTTGGCTTGGTTGGTAGTTTTCTATTTTCGATCTTGGGGGTGTCCGTGTGCACGCCGCAGATTGAATGTTGAATTATTAGATTGTCTGTCAGCAATGAAGCAGATAGAGTGTTCTGTTTGTGTTTTCATCTGCGCGTAAGATGAACACATTCTCCACCATTCCCTTCTGATTCATTATGGATTCATTATGAATATTCGGGCAGAAGGAATTCCATGGGATGAATTTGAGTCTATTCAAAATAGTGTACAGTATGGAGTACTACTTCGGTGTACCCAGGTCGATCAAGTCTCGAGCAGCGCGAAGTGGGGACCTTTTCCACGTGGGAAAACTGGGGGGCGGTTTTGCATCGCCTCAACTGACTCGTGAGAGGGCAGATCCGAATAGCCCAAAACTCTCATCTCGAGGAGAGTTTCGAGCTAAGGGGAGACTAATCCGTTTTCGGAATGCGAGGAGCCTTTCCGTATTCTCTGGCCATGTGGCGTGCACGCTTGGGTTAGTGTAGTTATCGTATCTTTTTTTTCTACGGTGTCTGAGTCAGACCAACACTCGTTTCCAGAATCACGATTGGCCAGACATGATTAGGCTAGAAGGGCTATAGTTTAGAAGGTTTCTTATCGCTTTTTTGCAATGGCTGGACCCCCCATGTAGACTCTATCTTGGAGAACTATTTCCGATAGTCGCAATGGTGTTTTTGAGGCATTGATCTATTAATCTTCGCCCCTTTCCTTCGTCGAAATGATGGTAGCTACAAGACAAGCTCACGGTCCTCCCCCTGAAACCAACCAAGGATTCAAGAAGAGCCTAAGGGCTTCAGGATTTTTGGAAACATGGTACGAAGAGCAGAGGACGGAGTACCGATCGGACTTCCTCAAGATTCGGGGAGGAGGAGCTGGCGGCCGTGTATTCGGCTTGAACGGCCGAATTTCGTTGGAGGCTCCGGCCAAAGGGAGCGTCGGAGCGACGCAATGGGTTTAACATAGGCGAGCGAGATGGACAGGGCAGAGTGGGATGTACTCCGGAGTACAGTACTCTGTATTCGTACAACCTCGCCTATGTAGCTAGTGACTAGTGGCTAGTGTTGTACTCAGGTATGGTAAAGTTCGCCCGTATTGCGTAACTTCGTACGCAGATCGGAGTCGGGACGATCCGCAGGTAATCCCAAAACGCCTGTAATAAACCATCCATGGTAGTGACCAGGAAGAGAACGATCCATTCGCCAGCCTTACTCGATGCAGCCAAATTCTGCGAAACCAAAGTAGATCACGTCATTGACTCTTCATCGCCATCGATCGTTCTTGCGATGATGATGGAATGCGAATCCGCGATCGGTCAAAGTATGGTAGATTTCTTTTTTCTGATCTCCGACGAATGATCTTGAACCATTCGGACATGACTCTTAAAACAGTCGCAGCAACGCAACGCCAATGTGACTCTCCTGAATCAGACTCTGTGGCTGGCTGCTTAATACGGCGAAATCCGCGCGTGGCGAAGTTCCCACGCTAGAAACCTTCCAGAAGCATTTTCGAAGGCGCTAAGAAGGCTTCCGGATCCACCGAAATTTGCCCGTTGTTTTCGGGCGGATTTGAGCGAGCTGAGACAATCGCTTTCGGAAAACAATCAAAGAAAGGTACACTATTTGCGCACCGACATTAAAAAAAGCAAGAATAGAAAATTTTGGCTTCGGTTCCTGAGTCCCATTTTTCGGCCGCACAATCAAACTTGGCTTGGCGACAACAACCCACCCAGGTACATCCGAGGAATGCGTATCGCCCGTATCTCTTACATAGATTGGCGCAACCTGTCATCGGGAAATTTTCTTAAATCAAGCCATCTGTATGGTGCATCTCGACTAAACTACGGAGTACATACTTTAGGACCCTGCGCGCCCCAAAAATTGGACATGGCGAAATTATCCGACCCTCCTGTCAAGGCCGAGGTTAGCGCTAAGCGACCGGAGCTTCACATTCTACCTTTGCTGTATTCGGTTCCAGGGAATTATCGTAGCTTTAAACTATCATAATCGTACCACACTTTCTCACCGTCTCTCCGGAGTACGGAGTACAGGAAAGGGAAATGTCCTCGAATTACCTTTCCTTCTCCACTAATCCTAATCCTAATCCTGATTTTGACACGGCAGAGGGCCACACGGGAAGACAAAATCCACGTGGCAGATGATCTACAAAAACATGACAGGCACTTTTTGTCCGCGTACAAGGCAGAACGGCCCAGAAAAAGCTTCTGCAACTAGCGGTGCCCGTTGATGATCGTGATTTCTCCATCACTTGCATTGTGGTGGATCTAGCACCCATGTGGCCTGAAAGTACGGAGTACGAAGTGTATCTTATGTCGGAACCCCAACCATTAGGTCATTTTAATCTCCTTTTACGTTACAGTGCATGAGCCGACGGCCATCTAGGGTTTAGGTCTTTTTTCTCCCATGTATGTATGTCAACTTGTTATGTACAGCTCCCGCTGCGTCGCCCCCGTTCATTGGGTCATCTAGTTGATTCGGTGTTTCGTCGCTGCAGTGTTGATGCAGGTCAATTGCCCTAATTGAGCTTAGTCGATTGGCCTGAGTTGGGGGCCATAACCCAACGACCTCGCTTGGTCGGCTATATTCTTTGAATGAAATGTATACAAAATCGCATTGTTGATAGTAGGTAATTATGACTCCCAATTCGGGCTACACGCATCTGTTGAGATGGGGCCATGGTTGAAAATGTCTACCACGCCTCTTCAGAAATCATACGGTCTATCAATATCCTTGTATCCCGCGACCGTGTGTACATACACTTCAAACAAGAAGGATCCCCCTCCTCTTTTGTACCCAGTCCGGAACAAGCCTGAAGATTGTTGACGCCATTTAATATGTCTGTCTTGGCACCTCCAACCACAGAAGAACAGCTATCATAATGGCATGCTGATAAAAAAAATCACCTTTTCAACTAGCCCCAAGCACCGATGTCATGGCTGTTTCAAGCATGGGTCTTGATAGCGCCGGACCGGGCCTGGTGGTCTCCAATCGACCTATGCTGCTCTAGTGTACTCTGTATATTCTGCACGACAGCGGAGAAGACGGGATGATGCTGATCGTCACCGCGAAACCACATTAGGATAAGCAACTGACGACTAAACGTTCGATTCGCCAGCCAATCTCAATCCCTCCTTTCATCAGACCAGCATAATCACAGTCAGATGTGATCCCAGATTGTCAGTGGTTGGTTGCCAGCACAGCTCCGATTCCAAGCCAAGACCCGTAGCTCCGAATTACCTATGGAGCTCTTCCTGTCAACATGCCACATCCCTCCGCATTGCCGCTGCCGTCCCCCTCACTTCAAGTTCGTGTGTATATGCGGGAAAAGAGTCAACCCGTCAGTAAGGTCCATGGATCATCGGCGGGAAAGCAATGCAACAATACTCAATTTACCCTTTCCCAGTCCCCGCGGAAGATCCGAGAAATACAACTCTCCGACTCGGAGTAGCATGATAATCTGCTCTCCTATACTCCGTACTCCGTGTGTACATAGTATACTCGTTGCTCGCAACGCTTAAACGAAAACGAAAGTCTTCATCTGCAACATTGAAAGCGGGGTTGTCATTTCGGTAGCCTGCGATGCCGGTGGCCGCCGTCCGGATTCTGCAGCAAGAAAGCACTAAAAACTAACTTAACACGTTTTGCCTTTTTGCCAGTCTTCTTCACTTCTAGTATGTACAGCCCACGCGCCTTTTCTTGTGATTCCCCGGCTACACTGCATGATACTACACCTTGTTTTGGAGCTTGCCATAGCCGATCGAGCCCGCGATTTCTTCACACTGTCCTTATCGCCGCGGACCACACATACACATACACCCATACCGCACAAGCCCCATCGATACAGCTGCAAGATGCCGATCGTTCGAGGGTATGTGCTGCCCAGATCCCGGTCTGCAAAGACCAAGGCCCATAATGGGATCATCGACGTCGCACACGTATAGGTTTTGTGTATGTGTGTACGAGTAAATTTGCGCGATGGGTGGGTTCTTGCCTCCGCGCCGACTCTACCTACTGTAGGTACTTTCCTACTATTTGCCTCCTTCCCTTGCCCCCCGCTCTTCTTACTCCTCGTATGGCTCTGCCCGAATGAAATTTCGACCATTGCCTCTCAGGCCTCTAATTATGGACCGGTCTATTTTCAAAGGGCTAGACTTGACACGCGGAAAGCGGTTGTTACGGGCTGCTGCAGCTCGCACGCCTTGGTTTCTATGCTTGTACACTGATACAGGGGGGTTCCCTTTTTCTTTTTCTTTTTCTGGGGGAGGTTTGGCTAGCTTCTTTACTTCTTTGTCCTTTTCTATTTTCGACCTAATGCCGTGCCGTATTCTGGCGGACGGGAACCAGAATATGGGATCTGCAGGGTATGGCCGCTGACTGGATGGATTTGCAACGGCTTCTTCAGCTTTCCATCCGGGAAAAAGCCCTCATATGTATGCATTGGATTGGACCCAGAGTGGAGCGGAGGATTACTACGAGTAGTACTGCACATTCTGCATGATTTTCCCTCGTGTGTACCGATATGGATATGAAAAACCTTGGAAAAAATCGCCATGCGAGTCCTGCAGAACTGTGGAGTCGCGCTTTGTCTGTAGAAAACGGATCAAAAGTACTAAATCTAACCTGTCAAGTCCTGGTGCCCTTCTCCCAAGCAGCAGTTGCAGTGCAGTAGTGCAGTGCAGCACACACGCACACAAAAACAAAATATAAATATAAGTGCCCCTCCCCACAGTATTCGCACGCGATGATGCAGCCTTTTGCACGAACTAGGTATAGGTAAATGAGACGAGATTAGATACTCTTCAAGGTTGCTCTTATTCTTCGGCCAATCCCCCAAAGGAGCGAAACCAGCAAAATGAGAGACAGATATGCCGGCCAAGACGGGAAAAGGCTCGTGCTTCTGTTCTAAGGTCATACAAGACTGATCTCTCGGGAGATAGAGCAGCCGTGGTGTGTCTAGTGGGAGCCAGCCCAGCACATTGAATTTATTCCCGCAGATTTGGAGGTACATACTACGTACAGACTGTACATACTGTACATGGTACCCAAGTTCTCGGTGTCCTGCATGCAGTGTAATATGCTCATTTCATTCCGGCATCCTGTAAAGATGATGATCGCCCTGCCTGCAAGCCCCAGCCCTTGGAACCCACTCCCACCCCCCGTTCAGGCTAAAGAATTGAGTTGAGAAAAAGTAATTACCTTGAATAAAGCGCAGCAAAACACACGTTTGTGACCTGTCATATTTTTTGCTTTTTCGTCCACACATGGCATACATGGAAGTGGATAGGAACACATGTATGCCGCGTGTCTTAAGCACAGCCAGTATCTAGCGCCACGTTTGTTGATCCTGTGTGATCGAGAAGTGGCAAAGGACATGAGCAGGGTAGATTAAAGCACCTAGGTACCTTAAAGTTTATGTAGAGAAGCCATCCTTTTCCGTTCGGTTTATGTGCCATCTAATATTATCTCCTCCCCGGTCATGCATGAAACGTGCAAAAACGCTTCTCAAATCCCGTACTTCGGCATTTGGTAACTCGGAGTATTGTGGGTGTTTTATACCTGGGTTTTACCGGGTATTAACTTCGTGGTTTGGGGTTTGTTATCTACTACCTACTAGTACCTAATTGGATTGTGCGCCCTCTTGCCGAGGAAATATATCACCAAGGTTCAATATGATAAGATCTATTTGTTTCCTAGTACCTCGATGCTGCCTAATCGTACTAGTACAACCTACAACTCACCGGCAGTACGAAGTACACCATGCGAACTTGAAGCCAAGCCTCCATCCATGCGGGTGAACCGACGGTTGGGTACCTAAGGTATCCGCCACAATCCCACATCAACACCTGGGCATATTCACTTCCATATGTACTTCAAGTTAGAAATTTACTATGCATGTATCTAACCCTGGAGACTTTCTTTCCATGGAAGTTCAAGGAACAGTAAAGAGCAACATATCTTTCACACGGGCCCAGCCCTCTTCTTGGCTTCAAGTTGGCTTGCTACAGGTAGCTCACAGAACGCGGCAAGGTGCATGAAACCAAGGCAAGGGCGAGCTCGAATAATTGAATTTGCCAATGTGGTTCTGATTTCCACAACAATGGCGTGAACAAGCCACTGCCAGTGCCAGTGCCAGTGCCCAGCCCAACCCAAACCCACTGGCAGAGTGTAGAAACCCAACCAACGGGTCCAATCCAAGGTTGGACTCGAGTTCCATCGCGTAGGAAAGATCTGCAGTACAGTAGCAGATGACTCGATCTAAGTTTGGGCTCTCGAGCGGTTCTCGGATCTATACCCTAAACGAGGCGCGGGGAGGAATGTATAACATGGCACGGTGTATCTGATAGGCTCCCGCGTTTTGTGATAAATCATCACAATAGCCTGAGATTGGCCTATTAGGTAAAAATTGAACTTGAACCGGCTGAGATCATATCTTGGTGAATCTTGTGTTTGGTCCTCTGCTGGGGCACAATTGGGTTCTAAGGTCTGGATTATTGCGTGATGGGGGTTTGGAGGTGGTACTAGATACTACGAGTATATTTTGAATATTGTTTCAACTATATTATTTGGATCAGTGGATGGGTATCGAAAGGAGTTATGAAACCTTAGTTTATCTCTAGGGCTGACATGAACAGCAGCTGGAAAACTCCGGGTTTCAATGTTATCTGCCAGTGCCTTGTTAGTCCGGGCTACGAAACTTCTGCCTAACTTGAAGTACTACTAGTAGTTGCCTACCAGGATTACCTAGCTTGTGTTGGCCTCGGGGTTATGAATACAGTACATTAATCTCAGGACCAGCTCAGCTCTTTGGCTGGTACGTACTAGTACGCGTCACAGCCTTGGAAGCGGCTGGCTCCATGGGGAAGATACCGAATTCTGCTACTACTACAATAGTAGGTACTTATACACCTACCAAAGGATACTAGCACCTTCTCTTGAGCTAAGGCACAACTTGAAGTCCTCAATAAACATTATCAAGTCACATGCACCACTAGAAGTACTTTTTGAGACTTTACATTATCAATTTAAAAGAATGTATCATGTAACATATTATCTATTTTCAGGCTGACAGATGCATATAGAATTGACTCCGATGAACAAGACAGACCCCCTCAACCATCCCGCCACCATTGTCCCAATGAGCCACCAGAACCAGCCATATCAATAACCTCCTCATAACTAATCTCAACCCGGAACATCTGTCCATCAGCAGTACCATTCCCAGAACCAACAGGAGTAACAAGACCCCAAGTAACCAATTTCTCCCACGCCTCTCTCGAAACATCTCTCCCCCAGACCCGACCAGCCGTAGCCGCCGCGCCAGAAACAGACGCAGAAGTCTTAGCGGAAGTGAGGAGTCGCACATATTCCGCATAAGCTGCGGGGAAAGAGAGCGCCAGTGGTGACAGACTCTGGGCTTGCATGCCTTCGTTTCCAGGATCGAACAGAGCGGCCAGGCGGGTGGCGGCTACTAGTAGGGCCAGTGGGAGGGACGAGGAGCTTGATGAGGCTGAGACGGATGTTGAGAATGGGAGTGGGGCTGGGTCGGGGCAAGAGAGGGTTTGGGAGCTGAAGTGTTTGGGTGTTGGGATTTTGACGGACGGTTGGTCGATGCCGTGGGTGCTGAGGTGGAGGTCGGTTATGGGGAGGATTGCGCTGGTGAGAAATTCCTTTACGGATTTGGTCTGGTTGTATATCCTCTTGAGGTGGAATTGAAAGTCTTTGTCCTCCCACATGTGCTGTGAATTTGAATTAGTATAAGCGATTGGGTATAGTTGTTAGACGTGGAACTTTTGCCATACCTTCAGATATTCATTCCACCCCCCAAGCAGTGTTTGCCAGCGATTGCTATCCAGAACGGTATTCTCAGAGTTAAGAAGGTTTGTGATCTGCTGGGCTTCGTCCTCGTTCAAATCCAGACTCGCTTTGCAGATGTCCGAAAAGATATCATAGGTTCTTGGGAGGGGGATGTAGACATATCGATGACTGAACCGACTCTTGACTCTCTTCTCCAGCATCTCGGTTACATCAACCTTGGTGGTCAACCCGATTACTGCGATAGGCGCCTTTCGTGCCTGGGCAATATCGAATAGGTTATATAGCAAAGTCTGTCGGGGATGCGTGACGAATAGATCAAACTCGTCCAGCAAGATGATAATGGACTTCGCCGCCGTCACAGTGTTCCCATTCCTGCAGCACCAAACAACTCTTCAGGATGGGACAGAAGAGCCAATAAAGTTGCCATAGTGTCGGCATGGGAGCTCACCTTAGCAGTGTCGTCCTCGGTGTTAGTCTCACGGCCAAGTTGACGCCACATCTCACGAACAGCAAGGCGATCGTCGGTGTGAAGGAAACCATTCAGACGAACGACATGGAAATCATTGCTGTGTTCTTTAGCAAGTGAAGAAATGATCGTTTCAATCATGGCTGTTTTCCCGCATCCACGCGAGCCGAGAAGAAGCATCGAATTTCCCTCGCCAACTGTCACGGTCTGTTCGATCAGGTGGTTGGCTTTGTTATATTCGGCTTCAAGTCCATGGAGGGGAATCTGTCGCTTGCCAGAGAGTTTCTCCAGAACGGTCCTAGAGAAGAGCGCGAATCTCATCGTGATAGCCATCCTTGCAGAGATTTTGCATCTTCTCGACGTACTCAGGAAGAGGTTCTTCCTCGATGACCTCGACAACTTCTTGCGCCTCCGGCTGGTTTTGAAGATCTTGCTGAAGTTGCATCGCGACGAGATCATCCAGACCGTCATGATATTCCGGTGACGCGGATCTGTCGAGTTCCTCATTTTCTGCGCCGCGCTGTGCCCTTCCTCTAGCAGTACTCCGTCGAGATCTCGTCCTAGAAACCGAAGCTGTGGGTTTCGGGGACTCCATCTCAACATCAAGATCAGAGTCGCCCGCCACTGGCTTTTGTTTCGACTTTGTTGCACTCTTCGTCGCCCGGGTACTTCGTGGTGTGGCAGCTGCCCTGCGAGTCGAAGATGGAGTCGGGGCATCGTCTTCGTACTTTGCAGGAGTTTTGCGTTGGCGACCACTTGAGCGTGTGCCCCTTGAGGGTGTTTCTGGTTGTTGTGCACTATCATCCTCTAGACCGGTCGGTACCTTGTTGTTTCCGCCTCGAGTCGATCGACGTCGTGAGGCGGATTTTCGGGGTCCGCGGTAGTCTTCGTCTTCTTCGGAGTCGTCAGCGGCCGCTGGAGATGAATATGCAGCGTCGCTTTCCATTGCAATGTCTCCGTCACCGTCTTCGGAGGGTTCTTCGGAGACTCTTCTCCGCTTCGACGCCCGAGGGTCTTTCATGTTGGATGTTGCGCTTGGTTTTCTCGTAGATGTGTGGATTGGAGGGAAGGGGGGATTTGGAGATAGAAATGCTTCGCTCTTCTTAACTGCGATTCGAGGTCTGCGCGATGACAGGGGTAATTGAGATCGGGAGTAAAGTAGTTCTGGTCAAACACTATCGTCTTCTTAACCAAACAACATGCCGAGTTAGGGAGTTATTCGCTGAAGCGCATTGGCGAACTTCGACAAGAAGGGGTCGAGATCGATGAAATCGACGATGGTATGGAGTGGATGGATTATCTGGGGGGATCAAACCAGAGTCAATTGGTCGTTGCTAGGAACAATGGCTGGGGGTTGCGGAGTTTGTCGAATGTTGACGGTTCGGCAAGCAATCGCCCTTTCTCGGAGATGCGCGCCTGAGGCCACCCACGCGTGACGCGCAGTTAAGAGTGAGACTGAGAATGAGACACCCCTTTGCCGTGAAAGGGACATAGACATAGACATAGAGATGAGCATCTTGGAAGATAATCAAGCCTGTTGGGCCAGAATCAGGAAATCAAAGTCTCCGAAAAATTGGAATTTGTTCGTAGGTCATCGGCAATGTGTAGGCTACATACTCCGTCAGTACTGCGTAGCCTCATCCCACCATTACCGACGGGATGCCGCAAGACAAGGTTGATATCAAATGAGATGGCGTTGGGCTACAGGGACATTCCGGAATAAGATCGGTTCGACTCGGTCAATTCAGCCATTGCTCGGGGCATCTTTATCGACCAAGGCACCTTGGGAAAGCTTACCATTGATTGTTCCAGTGTTCAGCCGAGGTCCAACTTGCCCGAGCTGATCTTGTGGGGAACTGCCGCGATTTCAAGCTGGTTTCCTTATAGACTCTTTCCCATAGATAGAACACTCATTTCACTTCATTTCCCTTCCTCTGTACATAACACATCCACACATCCACCATGTCGGAAGCCGGAATCCAACGTCCAGCGCGCCAGCTGGACGAATTCGAAGAGCTCGTCTACGAGTATACAAGTCGCATGGGCCTGGGCAATGAAGAGGTCAGTCCCCGAACTCCCAACAATCGCATCGCATCGCATTGCACCAATTCAAAATCTCTTCCATCCTTGCCTTGTCGTAGCCAAAACCTATCCAGGTCCTGAACTCAGCTAACCCCTCCCTCTAGCACTGGGACGTCAACGGCCGCGACTGTAACCTCCGCTTCGAATCCGCAACCCGCGGTCCACCGGCAAAGGTCTCCTTTCTCCTCAAAATCACCCCAGCACTCAGCAACTACATGGGAAACCTGCACGGCGGATGCGCCGCAACTCTCATCGACGTACTATCAACAACAATCCTCTTGGGCATGTCCGAACCCGGCAAATTCTCCCTCGGTGGCGTGAGTCGCAACCTCAAGCTCACTTATCTCCGTCCTGTGCCGGAGGGCATCGAAGCGCGCATCGTTTGTGAGATTATTCATGTCGGGAAGCGATTGGCGCTGCTGCGGGCTGAAATTCAAAGGGCTGAGACTGGGGATATTTGTGTTGTTGGTGAACATGAAAAGGCCAATACTGATCCTGAAGTGAATCAACGCATTTAAGCTAGGCCAGAAGTCATACCCCTGGTGGAAATGACATGGCCCTGGAGTACTGGTCGACATAGACTACTATATACAATGGCGATTTCTCTGTCTTCTGTTTGATTTCATTACTGGTGCTTCTAGCGTTCTCGGCCCTTACTTAAACAACTTGAACTTGAATATTACTACACAACGTTCACCGATAGACTTGAAAGAGACAGGTATATTGCGCATGCTACAACCTGGCACGATCAGATGGATTCGGTGTCCAGGGGCGGAAAACAGATACAAGAGAGCGATGAACATGTCCAACAGAAGTATAATCAGCTCGGAATCTAAGCAACGATAGATATTCAACATGCGACTAATCCTCTACTCCTGGACCAGCTGCTGGTCCTCCCGGAGTCCCTCAACCACCAACTCCTCGCCAGCGGCACGCTTGTACATATCCCGCACGTCCTCTGATGAAATAATTAGCAATGGGCTCGCGTAGGATCAAAGGAGCTTGTTTATTCTTTATTTGTTTATTCAATGAAGAAAACTTACCGGTTGTGGTCTCGAAGTGGGATGTGGAGTCGTAGCTCTTGGAGATGAAGATGTTGTCCTTTGCGCCATCATCCAGAGGCTCGTAGAGAGGGATGGCGGGACCCATGAACTTCTCCTCGATAGCGCCGAGGCGCTCGAAACCAGGCTCGAGCTCGATGTGGTGGTTAGCATCGTTCTCGGCAATGGTCGAGACAATAGCAATGTAGTAGCCTTTGGGGCAGACGTTGTGAGCGGAGGAGACCATGGCGATGTAGATATCTAAGGTTGTTAGTTGAAATTCTTACGTATCTTCGCCGGCTTGCACTTACCGTGCTTGCGTCCGACCTGGGACTGGGGGATGATCAGCTGTAGCGAGTCACTGCCGTCGGTCTTGTCGATGGGGTGCTTCAGAATGCAGATGGCCTTCAGCAGGTATCCGCTGACCTTAACCTTGCCGGGGAAGTAAGAAGGATCAGCGATAATCTTCTTGGTCTTGGTCTCGAACTTCATAGCGGTCGATTGGTCATCACGGTCCTTCATGGTGGCCTTGATGCCGGAAACCTTGCCGCCTTCGTACAGCACCTCGTCGATATCGGTGTTCAGCATGTAGGTACCACCGTAGATAGCGGACAGACGGGCAAAGCCCTGGGGCAGTTCACCGAGACCGTAGAGAGGGTAGATGTAAGGCGACTTTCCGTAACGAGCCATAGAGTTGACATAGAGGCGGATGCGGTTGATAGTCTCGACGGCCGCACCAGGCTTGTTAATGTACTCGTCTGAGGGGAAGAGGGCCATGGAGTGGCCAACAAAGTCACGGGTGTTATCCTCGAGGCTGAACTTGTCGTAAACCTCCTTCATAGTGCAAGCGTTGATGTTCAGGCCTGTTGATTAAATTAGCAAACCACCACCGCTGAGCATATATTGATTTGATTGATCACGCACCCTGGTGAGAAGAGGGGTCCTCCTCCTTAAACTCGCCAACCCACTCGAGGAACTTCTTAGCACGTCGCTTCTCAAAAAGACCCATCAGAGAAGAGCGAAGGGCCTCGCCGGCATCTGAAGGCACCTTGGCCACGGTCGCCTTGGGGCCCTTGCCCTGCTGGACATAGCTGCCAGCAATCTGCTTGAACTCCAGGTATCTCGTGACGTCGGTGGAAACCAGAATGTTGGTCAACTCGCCATTCGCCATCAACAGCTTCGGGACCAGATCAATGTTCCAGTCGTTGACTCTTCCGTACTTCTTCCAGGGCTCCTCGCCGGGGGCGACGTTGCCATACTTCTTGAACAGCTGCGGGGGAGGTTAGCAGGGGGTCTTCTCGGGGATTCGATCAGCGTACAGTCTCGATGTTGACGGAGGCGGCCTCTCTGAAGCCATTGTTAGCTGTCTAGAACTCGAGTGGCGTGAATAGGGAGCTTTGGGTCCACCTACCCTCCGTAGTGGTCATTGCGGTCGATGTGAAGGACCTTGTTGCCCTTAACACTCAGAACACTGCATAGAGAGTGGTTATTAAGACATTCGGTAGCAAAAGGGAGTTTGGGGAAGCTTCATACCCAGACAGCACACACTCGGTCAGGCCTAGAAAGAAGATGTCAGTCGAGGGGGCGTTGCGGTGGAATGGCGGGGTAGCAACAAACCAGTGCCGAGCACCACCACGTCGTACTCGGGGGCGATCTCATCCATGATGAATGTAGAAAGAAAATAGAACAAGACAAGCTTGAGATGGGATAGGGGGGGTATGCCGAGGGGGCAAAAAGGTGGGAAAGAGAAAGAAAGTTGGGCCTGGTCCTATCTTGTCCCCGCGGATCAACGAAGCGGTAAGAAAGAGGAGACTAAACTATTTGACGGCCCCGCCACTAGTGACTTGCAAGTCACCAGGAGGTAAGTCAAGCTCCAAATTCGGGCCCTTGTGCGCTTTGGGATGGGGTTTATTTATTTTTATCTCCATGAGGTTACCCCTGATGTATAAAGTACTTGCTTCAAGTTACCCCGTACTCTCCATGCTCCATACACATCTGGGCATAGACATGCATATACTACTACTCCACCCCATAGATGGTCAAGCTACCCCTTAGAAAGACCGCCAGGTCAATGCAACTTTTGCTCCAAAATGGTCATTGATATTTTACATGGGTGCAACAATGTGAACAAAACCAACAAAACTAAATATGCTACAATATTCGGGCTCGAGCTCGAACCCTTGATGGAAATGATTGCCACTCAATCATGCCTTGGTATCCTTGGCCTCCTCCTTGGTGACCTCCGAGGTCTGTTCAGGGACCTCCTCTTCCATCATATCTCCGTAACCCTGGCCCTCTGGGCGAACTCCATGCTCATACAGGCGTGTGGCCTCCTCCCAGGCGTACCAGCGCTCACGCAGAACGTGCTTGATGCTCTTTTGGGTGACGAGGACCTAGAAAAGCAAAGCTGTCAGTACATGTTTTCGACAAAAGACCTTGATATGGATAGACATCTCGTAGGCTGGAGAATCGGGAGTGGGTAGTTGCCATAGGCACTTCCGAATAGAAATGTAGCTCCCAGTACAGGCGATTCTGGGGTTTAACTTACAGCTCGGTCCCGCGCCTGAGCTTCGTGGTCACCGTAACCAGGCTTCAGTCGCTCTCGCTCATAGTTGGAGGTGGAAATGCGATTGCGCTCTTTGACACAAACCCACCACAGCTTGTGTAGATCGTCCCAGCTCTTCTCGCGCAGTTCTTGGATGGCCCAAGGGCGGCCTAGTATGACAATTATCAGCATTCAACTCTACCAATCAAGGTCAATTGATGTGATTCAGTATTTAATGCACTCACCAAAGTCCATATCGAATTCTGGAACACTCAGTGCCTCGCGCGATGGAGGGAAGAAAGCCCAGAGTCCATGCTCAGGAGTGCTGGGGCGCGTTTGCATCTTCTCGGGGGAAACAGGCTGAGGCAAAGGGTATTTCGAGGCGCTCAACTTGAATCTGGGACCAGTCCGGTGGATGGCTGATACACCACGGGTTCGGTTCATGTCGCGTCCACCACGACCGGCGGCGACGGGAGTCGTAGAGAAATTCGAGGACTGCACATTGTTTCGCATCGTCGAGAAGTGAAGGGAAGGGGCGAGATAGGCAGGAGGCAGATCCGAAAGGGCCATGCCCCCATGGCGAGCTAAACGGGAGACGACCGAGCGTTGCATTGTGGTTCAATGTCAATGTCAATGTCAATGTTGGTACAAGAGTACGGGCTCTGCGGGTTGCTGTTGCGTTTTTTCGGGGTGCAGGGCGGGTCACATGAGCGCCTGGCGGCAACTCGAGCCCGCTTCTGGTACAATTCCGGCTCGACCTGATCGAACGACCTCACGTTAAGTACTCTCGGTATTGGAGTTTCAAAAAAAAAAGGACCAGCTCGTTGATATTTTCGACCTATTCTTGTCGGTCTATTCATCCTGTCTTCATTGCTATATCTCAAGGTCAACCCATACCTCTCCTACGCATCCGCGCGTTTAGCCGCCCAATCGATTCACTCCACTCTCAGGCGGAGCAGTGCCGCATCAAGTGGTCAAGAGGGCCTTTGTGGACTGCTTTCTCCCCGCGAATTCTTCGTTGGACTGATTTCAACCGAGATCTGTCGTTCTGGATATATCCGAGGGCCCCTAGGACCCCGACTCGAGTCACATCGCTGAGACTCCAACTATGAATCGACCAGGTTCGTCATTTTCTTCATTACCCTCCGAGTCCTTGCTCGACCTCTGCCCGCCACAAAGGGATATGCTATTGAGTTCAAGCCTATCTTCCTACTTCTGGAATGGTGTCGAAATCTGAGGGATCTTGCCCCAGATTCCAAAGATGAAAGGGTTTCACCCTCCAATGGCAGTAGTCCTGCAGATATGGCTGTCCCATTTGCGACCGAGACATATTTGCGAGGATCACTCGATAACATTCCTATGCTGGTTGAAGCATGGACCTTTTGATATGGAACAGTGAAGATCATGCTAACGCTCGGTGCCTTTGTGTTAGGACCAGGTCCGCCGCTTCGAGGCATGTCTGGATTCCCCGCGCCACAGCAACCTCAGGCTCGAAACGCGACACTACCCTCTGCGCGATTGCCGAACGGGAAGTTAGGTAGGCATACGTCCGGTCTTGGAATCGAGAGATCTACAACAGACACATGAGTGGATGCTAATGCTGGGGGGGCTACGATTTAGGTGGCGCAGCCAATTGGAACTTCAACCTCCCCCGTAGGCGGAACTTCTACTCTACAAACCAACCAACAACGCACAATGGGAACTATGGGCAGCTTTGCGCAAAGTCTTGGAGGCTCTCAACCGGCGACGCCTTTAGATCTCTCGTACGTGACATCTCCTTCTCGTCATATAATCGACTCAACAGTCATCCCTCCCGGAGTTGCTTCGGGGACGCCAGAGAACTCGAAAAGCTAACGATACCGATATTTCTAGCGAGTTTCCCTCTCTTTCGGGCGCACCACTGCAGTCACAATCTCAGAACCCTGGGCAACAGGTCTGGGCCAATGCTAGTCAACGAGCAGCCCAACACACACCAGTTCAGAGGCAGCAGCTCCCGCCGACGTCACAGCCCCCTTCTCGGACTTCCCAAACACCGTCGCATCCTGTGCAGCAACCTCCTCAACCTCCGCACGATGACATGTTTCCTTCCGGGACGCAATTCGCCAATCGACTTGACGATTTCAGAAATGGTGGACAAGGGATCAGTAGCCAGCTCGGAGCCGGCAGCCAGCCTCAAACAGGCAACATTGACGAGTTCCCTCCTTTGGGCCGAAATGCTGCTGCTGAGATGGCTCAAGATCGCCGAAGCTCCCTGATGGCAGCCCCAGGTTTTGGAGGATACGGCACTGGTATGATAATGGCGTGCTCCGTCATTGTGCGGAGCGTACCGATAAAGAAAAGGGATCAATAGCTGACAACGACTCGCAGGCATTGGAACATCTCGATCACCTGTCAATCAAGGGTCTAATGGGATTTTGGGACCAGAGAAGGATGTAAGTTAGATCGGCGGTCGCGTTTCTAGGCCCCGCACTCACCGACACTGCAGGACTTGAACAACACCCTCATGTCAAGCCAACGCAACTTCAGCGACCCGCAACAACAATTGCAACAAAGGCAGCAACAGGCAAATGAAGGTCAGGAAGTTTCCGACGCGCCTCAAAGTGCAGAGCAGCCGCCTCTGGCGCAGATGAGCGAGCTGGATCGCTTCGGACTGGCTGGCCTCTTGCGCATGATCCATAGCGAGAGCCCCGATGTGGCCAGTCTCGCAGTTGGTCAAGATTTGATGACCCTTGGCCTAGATTTGAATCAGCCTGAGTATGTATTTCGCTCCGCTCTCGGGATTCCGTTTCATGCCTGCTAACCGACTCGCGCCGCTCTAGGTCCCTCCACACCTCCTTTGCCTCGCCATTCGTATCGTCTATGTCCGCTGTACCCTTGGAACAAGATTTCTCATTGCCATCTTGCTACAATGTCGCCAACATTCAGCCCCTCCAGTCTCGGATTCCCGGTTTCAGCGACGAAACCCTCTTCTACATCTTCTATAGTATGCCCAGGATATTGTGCAGGAGTTGGTCGCGGAGGAATTGATGGGTCGCAAATGGCGGTATCACAAACTTGAGCGTTGCTGGTTAACCCGCGATGAAACGTATCCTGGACCTATGGACGTGGAACGAGGAGTGAGCGAGCGCGGAGTCTATCTGCTCTGGGACCCTGCTAGCTGGAAAAAGATCCGGGTATGTTTAGCAAACTTGACCGATGGGGGGTGAACGACGAACGACGAGCGATGTGCTAACTATGCCTTTAGCGCGAGTTTATCCTCCGGTACGAGGACTTGGACAACCGACTGGACCCCAATCGGGCCATGAGCCGCCCAGCAGCGGTCGGCCCGACGCACGCTTCATGAGAATTATGAGGCCGATCTCGGTGTGGTAGACCTTTAACTTAGTTGAACAGTAACGGCGTTGGGCTCTGGTTTACATGACGTTGCCTCGGGGTCGCCAATAGTACAGAGCCGTTCGGGATGGAGGCGCGATGATTTACCAGGAATTAAATGTGTTGTTGTGGGGTATCAGGATCCGATCTTACAATCAAATGCCCTTGGTGATCTTGTCACAATTATGAATGCCTTGATTTGTCCTTTGTCTATGGAGTTCAACGATGTTTACAGGTGGATATACATTTGATTTTTTGACTACCCTTCATGTAGGAGCAGCTTTTAACTCAAATGATGGATAAAGCCCTCTTCGGACTTGGGTATCCACCGGGACCTTCAGCTGGGCATGGGATCTTAAGATAAATCAATAGTTATATTATTACTAGTAAACAAAATAACAGCAATTGTCTCCCTCCGCGTCCTTCGAGCTCTTGATTGACTCAGAGCTTAACCCCATACAGTCGTGGCTATTTCTGGCTTGCCTTGCGTGCAGTTGAGAGAATCGCCGTCCATTCCATATGAATATCCCCTTCCTCTCCATAGACATCCGTCAAGTATTTCACTAATGCCGGACGAACCTTGTCAAGAAGTTCCTCCCTCTGCTGCTCAGTCCACCACTTCTTGGCGATCATAGGAAACATGATCATCGTCATTTCCACAAATTCGGGCACCTTGAGAGGGAGAGCCTTGGATTCAGTTCTCACGTCAATGTCGCCAAATCCTCGTTGCTGAAGTTGAGTCTCGATCCAGGATGTTGAGTACCATTCACCATCACCCAGTTTCTCAAGGAACTCTTGTGTGGTTGGAAATGGAGGGTTTTCGGGGATGGTCTTGACTGCTTTTTCAACGATAGTGACCCAGCCAGCTTTTCCGGAGTCAAGTTAGTATATGAGTCGCGGAAAGAGATGTTGTAGGATGATGTTGTCACTCACGCTTTAGCCATGTGGAAAAGGCAATAGTGCCTCCGGGTTGCAAGATACGTGTCGTGTCTAGAAATATTTTATGTTATTACCGATCTGTCTTTGCGGTTCCATAGTAGATATAAAACGAGAATGATTACCGTCAAGAGCATCGAGGGACTTTGGAACAGCCATGTAAGCTAAACAATACTGATAGTCAGCACTATCCCGCGATATACTAGTCAGCAGGAAGAAAGGTATCACAATCCCACCCACCAAATGCAGTCACCACATGTGTAAAGTGATCCGAAGGAAGTTTCGTGTCCTGTGCATCTACAGTCTTGACCTCGGCATTCTGCCAGCTCTCGCTGGCCATCCGGCCCCGAGTATATTCAACCATGCCCGGAGATATATCACCGCAGGTCAATTTCCAGTTGGCCTTTACGGCGGTATCAAGCTTGTTGTGCAGGATGCTGGAGACGATACCAGTTCCACAAGCATTGTCCAGCACGACCAGAGGTTCGCTTGGGTTATTGTTTGCCTTTGTGACGAGGCCGCTTTGGTCCAAAAGGGAGAGCGCGAACTTGCCGGTGATATGTTCGCCGGTCTTATAGTTTCTGACGAACTTGTTGTCCTTGAACATGGTCTCCCAATCTTGTTGGTCAGCCATGGTGGAATCGAATGGTTGGAAACTTGAAAGATGATGTTGATGGCAACTTGAATCGAAGACTGTAAGGGCCTTTGAAGTATTGAATGAAGTTGCTGGTCGTACGAGTACTTGTAGTAATTGTAAAGATAGAAGCTTGGAAAACATAGATAGATAATAGGATTGCATGGGAGGGTAAATGGGGGGTTTATATAATACAAGTAGCTAGGTATCTACTTCACAGTAAACTAATACGAGGCTCCGTGGTGTGAAAACTTCCAAGGTTGGAAGTGTCCGACAAGTCTCCGAGCCAGAGTTACCCGTAAATATTTCCTAAACCATCCAAAAATCTCAAAATAGGATCACTACTCTGTATATCAGAGAGATTATCATTGGATGCTGCCCCGGGAGCAGTGGCGCTGATAGGTTCATAGGGAAAGTACCCTTGGGGGCCGGATTGGAGTAGAGTGAATCTGACTGATCTGTCATAGGGCAGAAGCGATGATCTAGTCAAATTGGTCGAATTACAGACGATATTCAGCAGGAGTAAGACGGAGACTTTCCAGAGAAAGTGGCCGAGTGCCCCAGCCCAGCCCAGATCCCGTGGGATGCCAAGACCGCAATCGATAAGGTCACATGACAAGCAGCTGTGCTTACCTGGGCAAATCATAAACAAAACAATCGCGCCCCTCTTCAGCTTTCGACATCTCCGCCTCCGCCCGCGAGCCGACTCGCATTCCCAACCATGCGGATCGTTGAAATTGTGATAGACGTGAGTCTTCGAAGATGCTCCGATGACATATACAGATGCGCTGACAATTGTTCTCTTAGGGCTTTAAATCGTACGCCGTGCGTACGGTGATTTCAGGATGGTGCGCAAGCTCTCCGACTGTGTTGACGGTCGTGGCAGAGGGGTAACGGGCATGGATGATGTGCTGACAGAATATCATAGGGACGAAGCGTTCAACTCGATCACCGGCCTGAACGGTAGCGGTAAATCCAACATTCTGGACGCTATCTGTTTCGTTCTCGGTATTACGAACATGAGCACCGTTCGCGCGCAAAACCTCCAAGACCTCATCTACAAGCGCGGTCAAGCCGGTGTCACCAAAGCCAGTGTGACCATTGTATTCGACAACCGCGATACTGCGAAATCCCCGATCGGTTTTGAGGAGTATGCGAACATCTCTGTGACCCGACAAATCGTGCTGGGAGGTACCAGCAAATACCTCATCAATGGCCATCGAGCGCAACAACAAACCGTCCAGAACCTGTTCCAGAGTGTTCAGCTGAATATCAACAACCCCAACTTCCTCATTATGCAAGGTCGCATTACGAAGGTCTTGAACATGAAGGCAGTTGAGATCTTGTCGATGATTGAAGAAGCTGCCGGTACACGAATGTTCGAAGACCGCAGGGAGAAGGCGATCAAGACAATGGGGAAGAAGGAACTGAAGCTGAACGAGATCGAAGGTCTTCTCAAGGAGGAAATTGAGCCTAAGCTGGAGAAGCTCCGATCGGAGAAGCGAGCTTTCCTCGATTTCCAGCAAACACAAAGTGATCTCGAACGCTTGACTCGAGTTGTCATTGCGCACGACTATGTGCGAGGTGGTGAACGGTTACGAGTTGCCGGCGATGAGTGCGAGAACAAGCGGAGCAAAGTTCAAGCACTGGAGGAGAATGCCGACAAACTCAAGAGTGAAATCGCCCACTTGGAAGAGGATGTGAAACGTGTGCGAGCTGCTCGTGACAAAGAACTGCGAAAGGGCGGAAAATTCCAAGGTCTCGAGGACGAGGTGAAAGCGCACTCACACGAGTTGGTTCGGTTGACAACTGTCTTTGACCTCAAGAAGACTAGCATGGAGGAGGAGAAAGAGAAGGGCAAGGATATTCAAAAGACTGTCAAAGACCTTGAGAAAGCCTTGCAAGAAAAGAAGAAGGTCTACGATAAAGTTCAGGCCCAGTACGATTCCGCAAAGGCAGAACTCGATGCCCAAAACGCGGAAGTGGAGCAGAAGGAAGAATTGCTCCAAACTTTGCAGACCGGTGTTGCCTCGAAGGAAGGCCAAGAGAGCGGATATCAGGGTCAATTGCAAGACGCTCGAAACCGTGCCAGCAACGCAACTACGGTACAGGAACAAGCGAAGCTAAAGATCTCCAATTTCGAAAAGCGGATCAAGGAGGACGAGCCACGCGCTAAGAAGGCCAAAGAGCAGAACTCCGGTTTATTGTCCGATTTGGAAGGATTGAGGTCACAAGCGAAGAAGCTAGAGGCAGAGCTCACCAGACTGGGATTCGAGCCTGGAAGGGAGGAGCAGATCTACCAGGAACAGTCTCAACTCCAACGCGATATCCGTGAACTCCGCCAAAGAGCTGATGGCCTCAGGCGGAAGGTTGCCAATGTCGACTTCAACTATACTGACCCTCAGCCCAATTTCGACCGATCGAAGGTCAAGGGTTTGGTTGCCCAACTATTCACACTGAACAAGGATCGGATCCCGGCCGCAACTGCTCTAGAGATCTGCGCCGGTGGCCGTCTGTATAACGTCGTTGTCGACAGCGCCGAGACCGGTACCCAGTTGCTCCAAAAGGGCAAACTGCGCAAGCGAGTTACCATCATTCCCTCTGAATAAGATCTCCTCCTTCAGGGCTTCCGCAGAGAAGATTGGAGCCGCCCAGAACATTGCTCCCGGAAAGGTCGATTTGGCCTTGTCTTTAATTGGGCACGATGACGAGGTTATTTCAGCGATGAACTATGTCTTTGGCAACACCCTCATTTGTGAAGACGCCGATACTGCCAAGAAGGTCACTTTCGACCCGTCTGTTCGAATGAAGAGTGTTACTCTCGATGGCGATGTTTATGACCCCTCGGGAACACTGTCGGGAGGAAGTTCCCCCAACTCTAGTGGAGTTCTTGTTACTCTGCAGCAACTCAATGAGATCAATAAGGAGTTGAGAAGTAAAGAGCGTCAACTAGCCACTCTGGAGGAGAATATGAAGAAGGAAAAGAAGAAGCTTGATGCAGTTCGATCGATCAAGCAAGAACTGGACCTCAAATCTCATGAAGTCAAGCTTACCGAAGAGCAAATCAACAACAACTCTTCCTCTTCCGTAAGTACCACCTTTTTATTTTTCCTGCCGTGCTATGCTAAACTGGAATAGATTATTGCTGCCGTTGAGGAGATGCGAGCAAACATTGAGCAACTGAAGCAAGATATTGCAGACGCGAAAACCCGACAAGCGGAGGCCGCTAAAGATATTAAGCGCATTGAGAAGGATATGAGCGAGTTCAGCGACAACAAGGATAGCAAGTTGGCAGAGCTACAGAGCTCACTCAACACTCTCAAGAAAAACCTCACCAAGAATTCTGCTTCGGTGAAGGAGCTGCAGAAACAACTGCAGTCATCTCGTCTTGATTCTGAGCAGGTTGGAAGCGATCTTTCAGCCGCCGAGGAACAAGCAACAGAGTCGGAGAACACGCTGAAGGCTCAAGTTGAAGAGATTGATTCTCTGAAACGAGAACAAGCACGACTCAAGGTATGTTTTCTTATTTTGCTCTGACTACATTCCACGGACATGAAATTGACCTTTTCTTTTCCCTCTAGGATGCCCACGATGTTGCCCAAGCCCACCTCGAGGATGAGAGAGCTAAGTTGACTGGCTTCGACGACGAGTTGCGGGAACTCGAGAAGACGATGCAGACTAAATCCTCGCAAATCACTGAAGAGGGTTTGGAGATGCAGAAACTTGGCCACCAGCTTGAGAAGCTGCAGAAAGACCAGAACACTGCCGCCCAGGCCGTTGGCCACATGGAGCAAGAGCATGAATGGATCGCGGACGAGAAGGAGCAATTTGGTCGCCCCAACACACCCTATTACTTCCAAGACCAGAACATCGCCGAGTGCAAATCTATGCTGCGCAACTTGACCGAGCGATTCCAGGGGATGAAGAAAAAGATCAACCCCAAGGTTATGAACATGATCGATAGTGTCGAGAAGAAGGAAGCCGCTCTGAAGAACATGATGAAGACCGTCATTCGCGATAAGCGTAAGATCGAGGAGACCATCATCAATCTCAACGAGTATAAGAAGGAAGCGCTTCACAAGACCTGGGTCAAGGTCAATGGTGACTTTGGCCAAATTTTCGCAGAACTTCTACCGGGCAGCTTTGCCAAACTCGACCCTCCCGAGGGCAAGGATATCACAGACGGACTGGAGGTTAAGGTGTCTCTTGGTAAGGTCTGGAAGCAGAGTCTCACAGAGCTTAGTGGTGGACAACGGTATGTTCCAATTTTTCTTGTTTTCTTTAATATGCACATGACTGACTTCTTACTATCAGATCACTTATTGCTTTGTCCCTGATTATGGCCCTCTTGCAATTCAAGCCAGCTCCCATGTACATTCTGGACGAAGTCGATGCCGCGCTCGATCTCTCCCATACCCAGAACATTGGTCGCCTGATCAAGACCCGCTTCAAGGGATCTCAGTTTATTGTCGTCTCTCTCAAGGATGGCATGTTCCAGAACGCCAACCGCATCTTCCGCACTCGATTCAGCGAGGGAACCAGTATCGTCCAGGCCTTGACCCCTGCCGACATGAAATGAGTATGACCAACCACGTCGGTTGGCTATCCATGGATGGTCTTTTTGTCTTTTATGTTCTTGAACTAGCCTGTTAGATGCATTTGTCTTGTCTTCACTGCCCTATCTGTGGCAGTTGGTGTTCTGGTGTTGAGTCTGGCTTCTTGGATGGGAAGGAATATTGGCTCATGATCTATGCTATGCATGATGACTGTTTGTTTGGTGTTGCGCAAGCCCAGCTTATTCTCCCCAGAGATGGCTTGAATTCGTGTAAATCATTTTTTTATTCTTCTTACTTTGCTTATTTTCATCTGATTACACAATCATGGCGTGGATGATTCCTCAACTTGTAGAGGATAGACTTAGCTCTGCCCTGATACCTCCAACTTTAGACGCAACGGTGAGGGGTGCCACCTTCCGAGAATCGGAGTAGACGGAGAGACTGGGAGACTGCGAACGAGTCGGATCTGGTGAGAGATCCAATTCCTATATTTTTTTATCTCGAATCTACAGCTATATTCCCACAACTTCCGTTGTTTTCTCCACTTCTGCTTTGCTGATACCATCAAAGGTGCCCCGGCACGTGCAACCGCCAGTCCCGACCCGCAACTCCGTCCACTCCGCCACACCTTGCGACAGCAACCGTCTCCGCGCTCTAAATCTCACCCTCTAAACCGGTCGCATCGCGACAACTCTGATCCAGAGGGAATACCATTTCGCACACGACCTCTTGCCTGACCCGCGGAAGCGCTCCCGCCTCCGCGATTCGGCTCTGACAGCCCGAACTTCCCCCCAACCCGAGACCCACGCCCCCCTCGGCCAAAACACAATGCACGACGATGAGCCCTCGTTGAATATACCCTCTCTCCTCACCCTTGCGGTAGTGTCATTCTTCGTCATTCGATGGTTCTTTAACCGCGACGACAGTCCCGCTGGTGCCAGTCGGCCCCGTGGACGTGGCAATGCTGTTGACCCAGCCCAGGTCGAGCAGATCTCCCAGATGTTCCCCCAGTTGAGCACGCGAGACATCATGTGGGATCTTCAGCGCAATGGAGGCAGCGCTGCCGCGACTACGGAGAGGATTCTAACTGGACGGGGACTTGAAACGGTACGTCACACATACCTTGCGCTTGTAGTGCTGTCATTCGGATTCTCGGCACCATACCGCTGAGAGTGTCTTCTTTTCCCTTTGTCTTGACGACTTCTATGCCGATATTTGACCAGAATACTGACAGAGTCTATGTTTAGCCGCCCCCCTCGTTCCAACCTCAGGTCGCAATCCCTTCTACCAATGCCACCGTTCCACAGGCTACGTCAACTGCCACCACCAAGGCTGATGGACAGGACTTGATATCTCGGTATAACCTCAGCTCGAAGATTGTCAGTGAAAAGGACGCGGAGACTTCAACGGCTTCCTCGGCAAGCTCATGGTCTCAGAACAAGGACGAGCGTCAACGCCTCCTACAAAAACGTCGTGATGAGATGATTCTTGCGGCGCGGAGAAAGATGATGCAGAAGAACCAGGATAATCCCCAATAGTGAAGCTATTGCGCGTTAAATAATTTTCCAACCACTCCTTTTCGGCCCTTGATGCTTGATGCAAACTATGGCATTTCCTGTATCAACGTTGCTATCAGCCCTGCCCTCTCCTCTCCTCCTCCCCCTCCTATCCCCAGCGGTATTGTTCCCCGCCTATGTTTTTGTATTAGAGCGCTTTCGCATGATGTATGGTGTTAGGTAAATTGGAACACTTTCGGCTTCACCACCGCTGGTTTATCTTAATGAAAAATCGGGTATATGCGTCTATATACATAAAGTCGTTCGAGTATGAAAGGGGTGTGGGGGAGGGCGGCATTTATCTGCGTTGCACATGCACCTTTAACGCCAAAAAAATGAATAGCCAAACAATAAACATATCCCATGCAGGTTAAAACTCCATGTAGTCCTCTTCTTCCTCGTCCTGGGCACCGTCGTATGCACCATTAGCCCGTTGCTCAGCCATTTGCTCGCGTCGTGCTTGCTCTTTAGACGCGCCAATTTTCCTGGGATACAAGGTTAGTAACTGAATGATACCGGGCGCAAAGCAAAATGAAAATGCAAATTTGCATTTCCGTAGTATCACTGAGATCGACGCCACATACCGGAGATTATCCACTACCCCAGTCAAGAACCCTCGCTCTTCGCCAACTTCCATTGCACCAACACCTGTCAAGGCAACACCCCCACCACCTGTTGCCGCTGCATCGAGGACGTCCGTGCCAGCTCTCATTTTAGCTGAGACGCACTTCACGCAAGTCTTTCAATAATCGCCGGATTTGATCCGGTTCCACGAGGTCATCACTAGCGGACTCGAGCAACATGTTCCCCATCTCGACCCAATGGAAGGGCAATGCGGGCGGATCACGGGACGAAAACCCCTCCGTCTGAGCAGTATTTTGTGGTAAGAATGGCGGCGAGGCATAATATCTATTACCGTCCGGTGTATATTGAGGTCGGGCAGTAGGCGCAAGTCCGTCATCCCGAATGCTGGGTTGGCCGGGCAGCGGGGGAGGAGGGGAGAAGGCATCCCTATAATCTGGGTGTTGGGATTCGACCTCGAGGATCAGGTTGAGAGGTTCGGGGTGTAGCCATGATGGAGGCATAATATTCGCGCGGCGTTGACGTTTGAGGAGCAGTGCGAGCCAGAGGGGGAGGGAGGCGCGTCGTGGAGGGACAAGAGGTTCAATCGGACCCTGTAAAAAAGTCAATTGGTGCTTCTTTCACGAGATCATCATATATATATATATATATATAAAGAGCTTACCCCGAGTAGTTCTAGGCCCTCCAGACGTTGGCGAGGCACCACCGTCACCATCTCCATCTCCGCGAGAAAGCCAATCTCCGAGGGCGTGATGCCCCGCGGCAGAGGAAATGCCATTGGATATTAAAAATGGCGAAGAAACACTCCCAAAGCAAATAGTCCCAGCACAAAAATAGGGCTCTGAGAATTTAATACCCCATGTCTGACTGATTGATGCGGTCAGAGTCGCGAATCGCGCGTATCGATTGTCAAAGTGTGTTTGCGGTGTTTGCAAGCAAATTATACAGTAGCTGTCCCGCGGAACTCTGGAGCTTGCTCTCCTCCCCCCTTCGAAGCTCACCACCTCCTCCCAAATGATGCTTGCTCGTCCCGCGAGATCAGGAGCACAATGAGTCTACGTGAATCGAATCTCAGCCGCGCGGCGCGCTACGCCATTCCCTTCGCTTTAGTCCTCATCGCTGCGTGGAGGACACAGGTCAATGCCACAGTTCCGGAGGCGTATCTGGATGAAGTGTTCCATGTCCCACAGGCTCAGGCCTATTGGGCGCACAAATGGACTCACTGGGACCCAAAGATTACAACACCGCCGGGCTTGTATCTATGGTCATACGTCCTTTGCGCCGCCATGCTCGCCCTCCGCGGGTCTCCGGCGAAACTCGACGTCGCAGCTCTACGTACGACCAATGTCGCCGCGACTGCGGTCTTTCTACCTTGGCGACTGCAGACACTCTTGGATACGGTGCAGAAAGTGCGGAACAACCGGCCCTTCAGCGCGTGGCTCAGTCATACTGTCCTGAACATTTGTCTATTCCCTCCACTGTTTTTCTTCTCGGGCTTATACTATACCGACATTCTCGCTCTATTGGTGGTTATTGAAGCTTATAATTGGGATTTGAAGCGTGTGAATGGAGGCAAATATGGTCCAATCTATGCGCTGGGATTCCTGGTCTTTGGATTGGCTGCTCTGGTTTGCAGACAGACGAATATTTTCTGGGTGTCCGTGTTCTTGGGTGGACTACAGGTCGTTCGTACAGTTCGCCAATCTGCGAAGATTTGTAAATCGTCTGATGTCTCAGCGGTTGTCAAGGGTGGATTCCAAAATGAAGTCTACGACCCGCTCGTTGCGGAAGCCTCCTTGGAAGGTATGTTTGTTTCGTCAACTTGATCGTCTACCATGCTAACATGATACTCATTAGATTACTTCAAAACTGCTCTCTCGCTTGCTGCTGCAAGTCTCAGAAACCCCTTCTCTATCGTTGCCTCGATCATCCCCCACATCATCATCATGGGAGCGTTCGGTGGATTTGTCCTCTGGAACGAGGGCGTTGTGCTGGGACACAAGGAGTTCCACACTGCCGGAATACATTTGGCTCAGATGCTCTATATCTGGCCGTACTTTTTCTTTTTCTCGTGGCCGTTGCTGGTCATCCCCTTGCTCAACCTCATTGCTCCGACTAGCATCCTGCCCAAGTGTCTGAACTACGGATTCCCCGAGAAGCAAAAGAAGCTACCAAGACTCGTGGCTGCTCTAGCCGTCTTGCCGGCGATGCTTGCCATCGTGCATTTCAATACGATCGTGCACCCTTTCACTCTCGCTGATAACCGACACTACGTTTTCTATGTCTTCCGCCTCCTACTCGGAGTACACCCGGCAGTGAAGTACGGTGCAGTCTTGGTATACTTCCTTTGTGGATGGGCCGTCATCTCCGCCTTCGGCTTCTCTATCGTCCTAGCACCACCCCGACTCATGCAGGTTCCTGCGTCCTCGAAGCCCGCCGCACCTGCGCCCAATCCACCTGCTGCCCCTACCGAGGAACCTCAAGGCAACCGGAAAGAGCGTCGCGCCAAGGCGAAAGAGGACAAAGCCACATCCAAGAAGGAGGCTACTTCCAAGAAGGACACCGGGTCCAAGAATAACAAGCAGACTCAGCCTGATCCGCAGTCTCCAGAGGCACTGGCCAAGGTCCAAGAGCACCTCACTCAGCGACAGAATCAACAACCCAATGCCCCCCGGTTAGCTTCGTTCTTGTTTGGCTTGCTACCACCACTTTGTCATTGGTTACTGCCCCTCTTGTCGAGCCGCGCTACTTTATCATTCCTTGGGTGATGTGGCGTCTGCACCTACCGTCCTCCCCGATCCCTGCTATGTTCCGACAGAAACGACCCGAGCAGGAAAGTGAGAAGGCCCGCGCGGATATTATTACCAATGCTCCTAAGTTCTTGGAGACTGTTTGGTTTATCATTATTAATGCTGTGACCGGGTATGTTTTCCTTTACAAGGGCTTTGAATGGCCTCAGGAGCCTGGTAAGATCCAGCGGTTTATGTGGTGATCTTTGGGCTTTTGATTGTTTAGCTTCAAAAGGCTACTGTATATTATTTAGAGGGTGTGATTTCAAAAAATAAAACGTGTCAATATTATCATATAATTTTATATTACTAGTACTACTTTAGTACCTTAGGCTGCTGCTAGTACCTAGTAGTACTTCAAGTTCCAAGCCCTGCCTAGGTGGAGGTTGAAGTCAGGTGCGGGCGGTGCTTCCGAGTCAAGTTGGAGATATATTCCCGAGTTAAGGTGACTTCTACCGTATTCCACCAATTTGAACTGATCCTTCAATCATCAATAAATATTTCAAGTTCGAAATTTGAATGATTTCACAATCAATTCGATCTTGGATTCTACTTCGTCATCCAAACAGCAGAGTTCAAGTTCCGAGTCTTTCCCTGGTGAGGCCTAGTTCGCGACACTTCAGGTTCCGACTGAGGCATCCTTCACCCTTGTCCCATGCTGTGACCAGCAAGATCTCCTGCGATATACGCGGCCTTTCAGCCATGGAGCGCCCGTCCAAAAGAGTACGCGTCTCGTCAGATTCAACGAGAGAAACTCAGGGCCGACCGAGAAGAACCGAGACGCCCTTGAATTCGCTGAACAGGTCCATCTCTCCACCTCTGCGTTCCCAGCCAACCCAGGTAACAGACTCGGATCTCGCATGTCCAGAACTGGTCAATGACAAGCCAGCGACTGGAGACCAGAGACTCGATACCACACGCCGTGCTGGTTCTCCGCGTTACATCCCTTCTCCAGTCCAACTCACTCACATCGCGGATTACCCAGCCTCAAAGGGGTACAATGTCAACGCCGTGAAACTACGTGATATCCTCGGGGACCCCATGATCCGCGAATGCTGGCAGTTCAATTATATGTTCGATGTGGATTTCTTGATGAACCAGTTTGATGAAGATGTCCGAAGACTGGTAACTGTGAAAGTGGTGCATGGATCGTGGAAAAAGGAGTCACCCAATCGAATCATGATCGATGTAGGTTTGCATTTTCCCGAGATCACTTGGATTTGAAATATTAACATGTTCTAGGAAGCATGCTCTCGCCATCCCAATGTTGAACCTATCATTGCTTACATGCCGGATCCCTTTGGGACTCATCATTCAAAGATGATGATTCTCCTTCGCCATGATGATCTAGCTCAGTGAGAAATTGTTGTCTTGGGGTATTGATTGTGTTTCACTAATAAAAAATTCTAGAGTGATCATACATACAGCCAATATGATTCCGGGTGACTGGGCGAACATGACACAAGCAGTATGGCGATCCCCATTACTTCCTCTACAGAGGCAAGGAGATCCATCCTCGGCTCCGACGCAGACCGGCACTGGTACTGGTGCTCGCTTCAAGAGAGATATTCTCGCGTACTTGAAGGCGTATGGCCCTAAGAAAACCGGTCCACTGGTGCAGCAGCTACAGAGCTATGATTTCAAAGCAGTTCGGGCAGCCCTCGTTGCAAGTATACCATCCAGGCAAAAGCCCAGCGAACTGGATTCAGAACAATCCACTCTTTGGGGCTGGCCGGCTCTGAAAGATCTCATGGGGCGAGTGCCCATTCACAAACAGTCAACCGATAATAGTGAAAGTGGGAAACCTCATATTGTCACGCAGGTAGGACTTCCATCATCCCTGTCTTCTATTTGTGTAGACGATGTTAACCTCTTCTAGGTCTCCTCAGTGGCCACCCTTGGCCAAACAGACAAGTGGTTGAAAAATGTATTTTTCAAAGCACTTGCATCGACATCACCGAGCCCCGTCCCAAAATACTCCATTATCTTCCCAACGCCTGACGAAATCCGCCGCTCACTCAACGGCTACTCTTCCGGAGGTTCGATCCACATGAAAACGCAAAGCGCGCCACAGACCAAGCAACTACAGTATATGCGCCCTTATCTCTGCCATTGGGCTGGTGACAGTTCGTCCGACTCAGACACTTCCAAAGACAACCCCCTCAAACAAGACGCTGGGCGCGGTCGTGCTGCACCTCATATCAAGACTTATATTCGATTCTCAAACGCGGAAACGATGGATAGCATTGACTGGGCAATGGTGACATCTGCAAATCTATCTACACAAGCATGGGGCGCAGCGACAAATGCGTACGGCGAAGTGAGAATCCAAAGTTTCGAGATTGGCGTTGTTGTTTGGCCTGAGCTCTTTGCTGATGATTCGGATTCTGTTGCCGGGGGTTTAACATCATCCACATCGACTGGAATGTCTGCTAGGATGACACCGTGTTTCCAACGTGACCTGCCAACTGCGCCTACAGGGAATCCCGGACATCACAATCTACAGACAGTGGTGGGATTCCGTATGCCCTACGACCTTCCGCTGACGCCATATCGCGCCTCTGATGAACCATGGTGTGCAACTGCGTCTCACAGTACGCCTGACTGGAGAGGCATGACCTGGTAGGAAAGATATCGGCCATATTATTTTAACCGTTGCAGCCCAGCTTATGATACGAGGATACTCAACAGACCACTAAGAATGTGGCAACAATAGCGCTCGGTTACCCTCGGCAGCTTTATATACAATATTTGGGGCTGCTATCAATGCAGAATATGAGGTATAATTTATTCGTAGATGCATCGCGTCATTTGTGATTCGAACTCCATAGTGTACCCTTGTCGAGTTGTATTCGATCTTAGGTTCAGCGGCCGTAGTTTCCTCTCCTTCCGTGATGAGCTATACTCATTTAACATTTAGTTAAGGCCCTTGGCGGCGATGAGATCAACGACCTGCTTGATGTAGGCAACCTGGGAGCCCTGGGCGGTGTTTCCTGCCTCGATAACCTTCTCATAGGCACTGAAGAGGTGCTTCTTCTGTAAAATCGCGAAAGCGCATTAGCCAACGATGATCTCTTCGACAATGATACAAGTGGGGAGGAAATAAGAAGAAGAAGAAGAAGAAGAAGCTCAATACATACCACAAGGTCAAACATGCCAGGCTTGTCAACCTTAACACCGTTGCCAATCTTGTAGTGAACGTAGAGGTTGGTCTTCTCGGTGTTATCAGGGGCGGACTGGAGTTCCAGGACCAGCTTCGCGGCGAATTCGAAACCAGCCTTGAGAGCAGCGCTCTGGGCCGGATCCTCAATCTGAGCCTTGTTTCCCTGGGCCTCGGCGGCGGCGTAGGCCTTCTTCAGGTCATCGGTGTTGATTCCGGCAGCGGCCTTCTGGACCTCGGGGGAGTATTGGGCACCGTTCTGGGCGGCCTCGAGGGCGGTGATGAAGGCAGTGAGATCGGACATTGTGGATAGAGCTCCGGTGGAAATTTGGTATGGTAGTGAGGAGTTTGAAGGGGTGGAAGGATTGTTGAGAGTTGGAGAAGCAGACGGTTGAGGAGGGGCTTTGGTGGGGGTTTTGCTGACATGCCCACCCGCCAGTTGATCAAAGCTAGCCCTGGGGTTAGTTTCCATGACAGGAAACCATAGTTGGATAATTGGATCTGCTCTTTTCATACCATCGACATGTGAATTTTAACAATAAAACATTCATTGGATAGAATATACACAATCAAAGACGTATAATTCAACAATTCACTAATCCGTCTGATCCCAACGCCTGCCGATGCAAATGGTGATGCTGGTGCTCGTGGATATCACTCGCTATGCATCAAAAACAAAACATATCAAAGAATACTGCCAGAAATACAAAACACCAAGCGGACATCTAGTAGTCCACTGCCCACCCGTTTTCGGTCAAGAAATGCTCACAGGCGGCCTTAAGTGCATAGTTCGGGCGCAGGTCCTTGACCGTGATCGCAGCCCGGGTAATTGGATCGACACCCGATTTCTCTACATATTTGGTGATGCCGATACGATCAAAGCTGCTTCCAGACGGGGTCATGACAGGGTCATGCATGACTTCAAAGGTAATACCATCGATCAGGTAATCAGGGACATGCTATGAGATCCAGTCAGTCAGTCAGTCCAGTCAGTCAGTACCCCGTCGCCACCACAACCCGGGAAAAAAGGAAACGAATATAAACTTACGCGCTCTTTCACCTCTTCATTCGAAGCAATTCGAAACGCCTCCCGTAAATCATGGATCTTCTTTTCAGAATCCTCCCTCAACGCCCTCTGATCCTCTCCAAACCCAATCTCGCCCAGTTCCCCCGCATCAACCTGTTTCCGCAACTCCGCAACCGAGCGCTCCAAATCCGCCTCGACAAGAGTCTCAATACTCTTCAGTGTTTCATTCATTTCGCGCAGTCGGGACGTCTCCTTCGCAGCCCAGATCTGCTGCTTGGCACGCAGGACTGTCCTCGACAAGTTCTCCGTTTGCGCATTCTTAGAACTCAAGCTGAGCTGGTACGCGTCTACCGCCACATCATATGCCTCTTGGGGCCGTTGAAGACCGAGTAAGGCCTGGGAAAGATAGTAGGAGCTCTTCAATGCCGTAGGATTCTTCTGGCCGTATAGATCGATCGCGGCGCGGGCGTCATGTTCGACCTCGGCCCATTTCGCGAGCTTGATCCGGGTGATCGCGCGATTGGAGAAGAAGGTTGGATCGCGTGGGTTCTTTTGAATACTATTATCAAGGAGAGAGAATTGTTAGCATCTCGCCTTTTCTTCCATGTATATGACATATTCCACTTCTCATTGAGGGTGTGCAGGGATTTGTCATGGGGTATGGGATGTATTTGCCCCCACGCAAATTGGAAGGCGTCTTACGCTTGAGAGAAGTAGTCTTCCGCGCCTAGAAAGTCACCCTGCTTGTAGAGCTCGTTGCCCTTGGTCTTCAGCTCTTGCGCCATTATGCAGCCTGGGAATCCGAGTGTCGGAGGTGTGTAGTCGCGAAAGTGGTTGACGATCGCTGATCAATCAGTTCTCCAGGTGGGGCGGCCCACAGTGCAGCGAAGTTGAGGGATGTATCTCAGTGAAGGAACATGAAGAGCGAGGTCGGAATAAGAAGAAGAATAAATTGATTCTCTTCCTTCCGGGACTCCTGGTCTGTCTGTTGTATAATATTCGACAGGGGACAACAAAGAAGTGAGCAAGTATGTACCTCATGCAGTTGTTGTGGAAGGTTATCGATCCCCGCAGAATGAATGACTCAGCCTGATACTTGCTTGTTACTAAATACTGAACAGCAATCATCCAATGGTTCCATAACCCAGTTGGTTACAGTGTGGTGCTAATAACGCCAAAGTTGTGGGTTATATTTTTGCAAATTGATGTTTCTCCCCTTCAAGCTCCTTTTTTTCACTGTACCCACAACAGTGGAGTAGAAGAACATGGGACATAACCGACAACTGACAAGCCGGGGCGGTATCTCACGCAGTCTTGGTTGCTACCATTTACTTTTTCAAGAACCTGATACCAAGGAAAATTTCGCTAGCATGATGTTTAGTCTTGTCTGAGAATGTATGTCTCTTTTCATACCTACAAACAACTTGAATCAAGGCTGTCTGATTGAACCTAGGAACTTCCAAGGAACATAGTACTATATATCTTAACGCGAGAGAGCAAAACAGAGGAGGATTTGTAAAACTGCGCGTAATTCAAGGTTCAATACATGGATTCAGTTGAAAAACAAAATACTAGTAGTTCCAATGTTGTATTTGTCCTCGCTTCGAGCCTCAGCATAATTTGCACAATCAAATGAATTTTATCCAACCACAAGAGACCCGCAAGCACAATCGTTTCAGCCGGGACCGTTCTCTCCCTCCATTACTCGAACAGGAGGCTCTTCCCCCCAATCATTTCCCTCCGAGCTAAGTCGTAAAGGGGATTTGGCCCCATGGGGCCATACACGAGCCCGTCGTGGCGTTGGGATTGGAAGAGAAGCATTCGCCAAGCTGGGGGGCGACTCCGTAGTTTTAGGCTCCTCTAGGCATTCGAGATGTTAAGACAGGCATTAAACCCTTTGGACCCTGACAAATCTCCAATTTGGACCCCAAATCCTCATCTCGTTTTTTGACCAAGAATTTAGTGCATTGAGCTCGGCAGCCTGGCCAGGCACAGGAACAGGCACCACACGATGAATCTGGAAATTCCCCGAAATGAAGGCCTGCGAGACCGGCGGGCGACGGCAACAAACAGCTACTAGTATAAATATCATTCAGAACTTCCTCGCAAATTCCCCGCTAGCTCTAGTTGAATTCAATTACCAACACTTTCTCTCGGGTAATATCAAAATACCTTGAATAATAATCATGTCCCTCCTCATCGCCGGTTTCTCGCTACTCGCCGCAGCTCAAGCCGCCACCATCCGCCCAGTTGAGGTCTCAGGAGGATGCACCAAGCTCCCAGTCTACGACTCCTCTGCCGGAATTGCCGGACCGTGGGTCGTAACTGTTGACCAGTGCGTGAACACCACCGCCTCCGACAATGCGTGCAGCATGGAAGGATTTGGCAGTGAAGCCGTGTATTTCCTACAGCAGGGAGACACAGGCGTTGAGAGGGGTTATGTAAGTTTTTTTTACTTTCTTTTTCTCTTTCATCCACTCCTTTGAATACCATAAGAAGGCAAAAAATTCTGACTACTCCCCTCTCGCTAGCTCGCAATCGTCGACAAAAACGACATAGCCAAAAGCCCAATCCGCTGCAACGATGCAACAAACTCCTTCGAGTCCTACGTCCCCTCCGGCGTGAGTGGAGACGAATGGAAGAGCGTCAATATCAGCGATTACGCTTATAGTGCCGAGCTCATGTGGGGACTGGGTCAGTATAGTTTGCCCATCCAGGCCTACAATCACTACCAGGATGGGGTTAAGCAGGATGGTATTTTTCTCGGCTCGCATAATGTGACGACTTGGGGGATTCAGATTAATCCTGGTTCGGCGGGGAGTGCTGGGAGATCGTATTGGACTTTGAGATTGTTGGGGCCGAATAGTGCGGATCCTTCTACTGGGAGACCTTTGTATGATGGGGAGTTTCGGACTTTCGTTCGCGTTGATGGGAGTTAAGGGCTCAAGTTTGGGGGATTATAGACGTGGATGATCCTGGAGAATAGGGTACACTGGACATTTATGGAAGGGTGTTAAGGAGTGCCTAGTTTCCTATGGTTATCTAGACAAAGGAAGACGTTGTGCCAATATAGTTGCAGATTTATGCTCAGCTATAGTATCTACCAATTGAGCATTCTGCGGTCCCCACGCACTCTATACTATTATCAGCTATCCGAACATTCACTTGCTACTAGTATTTCACACATTTTCATATTCTCTATTTCCCACATAGATCCTAGTACTTTTTCGTATACACCCGAGTCTTTCATCCCATCCACCTCGTGCATTGATTGGTCGGACGCGTTTCTTCACGGAAAACTGAAGCGGAAAACCTCCCACGATTTTAAGTTGGAGTTCCGGGAACTTTGTGGCACCCAATCTGTGACAATCGACTCCAGATTAGAGCCATGGGTATGTTAAAGTTTACAATATTGTAACCACGCGGCGAGTCGGGGAAT